TAGTAATTATAATAATAATCCTTGCATTTGATATAGCGCCTCATCATGTCGGTGAGACATCTCAAAGCGCTTCACGGAATATACTGCAAAGTAGTTTGACTGTGTTTCTTGTGGGCGAAAAGACTATCAATTCTTTTAAATAAATAAAAATCAAAAATCCTGAATAAAATACAAGCTTTAAAGGGTATTTTGGAGGTGGGGGGGGCGCGGAGGGGGTGATGAGAAAGAGAGAGAAAGAGAGAGACTGCAGTTAACATATTAATACATGCAGTCAGCCAAGCAAACGTAATCGCTAGCAGATAATTTGATATTGAAATCCAGCAAAGACTCCCCCCTCCTCTCTCTCCCTCCTCTTTAAACTACAGCAAATTACTAAAAAGCTAAGCTGATTTACTCATCAAATCTAAAATAAGCAGTTTATCCGCAACAGAAAGATCCAGTGCAACTGATGTTAGGATTAAGGTTCTTTGATTACTAGAGATAGAGAGAGAGAGAGAGAGAGAGGGGGAGAGAGGGGTTTACAGAAAACAGATCAGTGAAAGTTACGAATGTATTGATATTTTTGAAGGGGTGTGTGTGTTGTGGGGGGGGGGGGGGTGCGGGGCGGGGCGGGATGTGGGGTGGGGGGGGTAGAGATCTTGTATTGCCCACAAAATATACAGTCAATTCACTTTGCAGTATATCCTGTGAAGCGCTTTGAGACGTCTCGAAGACGTGATAAGGCGCTGTATCAAATGCCAGGATTATTATTTATTATTATATGGGGCCAAAGAGCTGTGGGAAGTACAGGTGTGTAACACAGCTGTCACGAACATCACAGGAGTTAAATCAACATATTATTATTATTATTATCAAACCCTGATTTTGAAATGATAACAAAATGATGTGAAATGCAACAATAACAACAACAGCAAACAAAAAACCCTCCAATTTAACATCATATGTGATAAGGCGCTATATCAAATGCAAGGATTATTATTATTATTATTATTATTATTATTGTTGTTGTTATATATTAAAATCATCCCCAAACCTCTTTTGTAGGGTCATGGACACTGGAAGTTGTCCTCGTGATCTGACTGATGTTATTATTAATAAATAAGTACAAAAATATAATGAATAAAGCACTGTTTTGTTTTTCGTACAATTATTTGGGAGGTGAAGTTTGCCTATAGGATGATTTCATTTGGATTCTTTCCCCTCCACCTCTCTTTCTCTCTCTACCCCTTCTCTTTCTAATTCTCATCCCTCTCTCTATCTATCTTTTCATTATCTCTCTCTCTCTCTACCTTTTCATTCACTGCCCCCCCCACCCCCACCCCCCATCCCCTCTCTCTCTCTCTCTCTCCCTCTCTCTCGTTACGAATGAAGTGCATCTCACATCTGCAAACTAAAAAAAAAAAGCCTTAAAATCAGAAAGATTGGCCAATAATGCACCGAAATTCAAAAGATATATTTTTCCTCTTAGAAAAAAGAAGTGCACCACTACTAAATCGCTTCACTCGAAATCAGGGACCATTGCGAATGCACGTCGCTAAATGTCACTAAACCCTTGAGTTCAGTGCGCATAATAGCTTCTGCTTTCGCAAACCTTTGCAGAATTCAGCAGAATACAGAGGAGAGAGAGAGAGAGAGAGAGAGGGACCATATTCGCATCAAACGAAAGGCGCAAATCGGGGCGAAAACGAGGAATATTATCATTTATAGCAATAACGTGTTGGTGAAGTCAAATAGATTATCTGCACAGAAATTTTTTTAGGGTCGGTTTCATAATGAAGCATTTCCCTATGGAATCATATGAATTCAGATTTTATTTACTGAAATATAATCTTTTTTTGGTGGAGTGGGGGGTTTGGGGGGTGGGTCTGATTTCAGCTGTAAAGTTAAATAAAGATTTGTTTTACAGTCTATAAATCAATCAATCAATCACTCTTTGGTATATAATAATAATATCATTAATATCAACAATAATCCTTTATTTTGGAGACGTTTCGGAGACGTCCCAAAAGCGCTTCTTAGAGCGCATATTTATTTATGAATACATATACCACTTTTTCGCATCATCTGAAGGTCTCAACTCGCGTGTCTTTTTTTTCTCACTGTGTGCAGTGTAGTGACTGCGTGAAATCAGAAATAACTGTGTGTGTGTGTGTGAGAGAGAGAGAGAGAGAGAGAGAGGGAAAGAGATGTGTTTGGTTCACGTTTTGGTATCGTTTCACACTTTCATTTTCTCACTCTCACTCTCTCTCTCTCTCTCTCCTCTTCTCTCCTCTTCCCATTTAATTGGACTTTTGCGACGTGAAACGATTTATGCAACAACAACAACAACAACAGCAACAACAGCAGCAGCAACAACAACAACAACAAAATAAAAGACTGGATCTTGATCAGAAAGATGGTTCGGATCGATTCGAAGCTATTTGCGACGTGAAGTGACCGAACACAGGATTCGGTAAATTAGAAATGATTTTACGAAACGATTAGAGAAAAGATGGGAAGAGGGGAGAGAGAGAGAGAGAGAGAGAGAGTGAGAGAGAGAGAGAAAACCAGCAGAGGAGTGATCAAGTGCAAAGAGAGACAAGGAGGTGAGGAGTTAAACCTCTCTCTCTCTCTCTCTCTCTCTCTGTAAATATGTGTTCAATTGCACTCTCACACACACACATTGGGACGTTTTTTTGTAAAGGGATTTTATTGATCAAATACACATTTTATAAAATAAAATGACGGTGCAATGCGATTTCACGTTTCTGGTACGAAATGTTACATTTCTATGTTTAAGCACATTTTGCTCGACGTCGTTTTTTTTTATAGCTCAGATGCAACGATTGCTATTATTTATTATTATTTTCAGCATCACATTATTTGTGTGTGTGTGTGTGTGTGTTGTGTTGTGTGTTGTGTTGTGTTGTGTGGGGGGAACACAGAGAGATGGATAACGATGGGAGAAGCGAAGTTCAACTGAATACGTTCAACAGAGAAGAGGGGTCGAGAAACAGCACAGACCTGAGAGTTTCCCGACAGATGTGCTTTCCAAAAAAAAATAAAAACAGTTTTAAAATAAAATACGAGATACAGCAACACGAAACCGACTTGTAAAACGCGAACCAAACGCACGACCCGTGTCTTCCAGGTTTTGTTAACAGAAAAGAGCAAATATTTGTGCATAAAACAGTGAAATTCGTTGTGATCTGACTAACTGACTGTCTGGGTGGGGGGTGGGGGGGGGGGTGGGTGGGGGTGTATTTAAGGGGCATATAACAAAAATAAATTGGCCCAATACATTTAAGAAAATAAACGACCCTCTCTCTCAAAAAACACACACCCACACACACCATATATATATATATATACACACACACACACACACACCATATATATATATACACACACACACACACACCATATATATATACACACACCCACACACACCATATATATACACACACACACACACACACACCATATATATATACACACACACACACACGTGTAATGCTGAAAATAATACATAATCAATAAAGGTAATACAGGAATTGGAAATGTAAAATGTATTAACGTAGAAATTTCAAAATATTCACAATAGAGACTCTTGAAATTGCATTCGCATTCGTATCACCGCTCATACAATACACCGTATTGCATTTGGTAAATGAAATCCATTTGCCGGACCCCAAAACATCTCAATGTGTGGGAGAGAGAGAGAGAGAGAGACAGACAGAGAGAGACAGAGAGACAGACAGACAGACAGAGAGAGACAGAGAGACAGAGACAGAGAGAGAGAGACAGAGAGAGAGACAGACAGAGAGAGACATAGAGACAGAGACAGACAGACAGACAGACAGACAGAGAGAGACAGAGAGAGAGAGACAGACAGACAGAGAGAGACAGATAGACAGAGAGAGACAGAGAGAGACAGACAGACAGAGAGAGACATAGAGACAGAGACAGACAGACAGAGAAAGAGAAGGGGAGAGACACAGACAGAGAGAGACAGAGAGAGAGACAGACAGAGAGAGACAGAAAGACAGAGAGACAGACAGAGAGAGACAGAGAGAGACAGAAAGACAGACAGAGAGAGACAGAGAGAGACAGAAAGACAGAGAGACAGACAGAGAGAGACAGAGAGACAGAGACAGACAGAGAGAGATAGAGAGAGAGAGAAACACACAGAGAGACACACAGAGACAGGGAGACACACAGACAGACAGACAGACAGAGAGAGAGAGAGAGACACACACAGAGAGACAGAGAGCAAACGAATGAATGAATGAATGAATGAACACAGGGGAAGGAGAAATGTAAGATAAATATCTCTTAAAAGACTATCTCCCAAACTGGGGGTGGGGGGGTGGGGGTAGGGACTGGGAGAGGAGGGGGTGGGGGGGCACATAACACTCTCAGACCCCCCCCCCAGTTGCTGCCTTGTTCCTGATTGGATGTCAGGGATGTAACCCCTGATGTGATGTTCAATGTCCCGTTAAATAAAGAGGGAAATTCTGATAGAATCACATCACTGCACATCAGAGAGTAGAGCCCGAGTGGTGGTGGTGGTGGTGGTGGCGGTGGGGGGGGTTGGGGGGAAAGTTAGGGGTGGGTGGTAGAGGGAGAAGGGGGAAGAGAGAGAGAGAGAGAGGGAGGGAGGGAGGGGGTGAAAAGAAAGAAAGGGAAATATAGAGAGAAAGGTGGTGGGTGGTGGGTTGGGGGGAAAGTTAGGGGTTTGGGGTTGGGGGAAAGTTAGGGGGTGGGTGGTTGGTGGGGGGGGTTGGGGGGAAAGTTAGGGGGTGGGTGGGGTGGGGGGAAGAAGGGGGGAAGAGAAAAAGAGAGAGAGAAAGAGGGAGGGGGTGAAAAGAAAGAAGGGAAATAAAGAGAGAAAGGTGGTGGGTTGGGGTTGGGGTTGGGTTTGGGGTTGGGGGGGGGAGGGGGACAACAACTACAAGTGCCACATCCCCCCCACCACCCTCACCCCTCCCCAACCCCCCACCCCCACCACCAAAAAAAAAATGACAGGGAAAAGGGAGACGGTCTCAGATACCGTCCACAAACCCAAAGGCATCGCTGGGGCTCAACACCTGACGAATAACGACCAGTCCAAAGCCCACAGCCTCCGCCCGGGCCCGGGCCTCGCCCTCCCCCTCCCCCCGGGCCCCCCACTCCCCCTGCCCCTGCCCCGGGGGGGGGCGCCTCCCGGTGCACCGGCTTCGGCATCCAGGAGCTCCTGGGACTGGACAAGGAGCCTCCGGCGCCCCCGCGGCCGATTGGGGATCCCCTCCCGCCCGCGGGGCACCTGCTGACAGCCAGGACGGTGCTGACCCCTGCGGGGGCCGGGGTGGGGGTGGGGGTCGGGCTGGTGGGGGTCGGGGTGGGGGTCCCAGGGTTTTACGGACAGCCCGCATTTCTGGATGTGCTGACGGAACACCGCGGGGCACTGACCGGTCATCTGCACAGAGCCGCTGTCCAGGTGGGGACCACACAGGAGGTCAGCTCAGGTGAGAGCTTCTTACACTGTACCCCCCCAACCCCACACCCCAACCCCACACCCCAACCCCACACCCCAACCCACACCCCAACCCTCAACCCAACCCCAAACCCGACCCCGAACCCAACCCTAAACCCAACCCTAAACCCAATCCCAATCAACCCCAAACCCAACCCGACCCTGAACCCAACCCTAAACCCAACCCCAATCAACCCCAAACCCAACCCGACCCCGAACCCAACCCGACCCCAATCAACCCCAAACCCAACTCACCCCCCCAACCCGAGTTTCCTTCACTATATTTTTTACACGGCCCCATGCGTGACACCTACAGAGAACCCATATCACCACAAGAGTCTCCAAACCAACCTGAGATTCCGTGCCCCCCCCCCCCCCCCCACCGCCCCCCACCCCTCCCCACCCCCCACACGTGGAAGTTACAGAGATAGATTGTGGGAATGGAAGGCGCTCGCTCTCCCTGGAGGGACGCACTCTGCTAACTTAATTCAGCCCCGTATTGTCCAGCGAGGAACACCCTACCCTTTAGGGCTTTGGCTGTAGGGTTAACAGTCGGATGACTCCCTGCCCCCAGTGACTGGTCTGCCCTTCCAGGTCCTGCTGATGGGCTGAGCTGCCATCAGCTATGCCCTGGAATACTGCGGCCACGACTGGCTTAGGAAATCGGACTTCCGAGACCACCACAGAGGGTTGGCTCTCCCAAGCATCGGTTCCCGTCCTAACCGGTGCCCGGGCATTTGTTAAAGGAATCGTCACTGGTGGGGATCGAACTCAAAGGGACACTTTTATCCCACACCCAGAAACATTAACACAGATTATGTTTTGCAGATAAAACATGTATTCGTTTAAATTTGTTTAGGATGATTAGAAATAATGTGAAAGCAGGTATATAATAATAATAATAATCGTTGCATTTGATATAGTGCTTCAAGATGACTCAAAGCGCTTCACAGAATACACCGTAAAGTGAATTGACTGTATATGTTGTGGGCAAAACGAGTCAGGCAATTGCACACAGCAGCGTCCCACACACAGTCACGGGTTGAAGTGACCGATTCATAATTATTATTTTTTTGAAGGAATTATTACCCCCGGAAAAGCGATCTGCCAATCGACTAACAACCGGGTTCCTACTTACTGCTGGGTAAACAGGGAATGTGGAGTAAGGAAACTTGCCCAACATTTTGCCGTGGCCGGGAATAGAACCCAGGTCTCTCGCTTGCGAGGCGAGCGCTCTAACCACAGAGCTCCAGGACTCCATGTATAATAAGTAATAATCGCAATTATAATTATCATTATAATGGAGAGCGATTTATTGGTGCGGAAATTTTTAAATTACTCCTGGGGACTTTAATATTCAGGTAATATATAATATGTAACTTTATGTGTTAAAAAAAATACACTGACCTGCGTCTAATGCTCTCCAGAAATTAGATCCGCGGGAGGAGTCCCTCCAGGGAGAAAGTGTGCATTCCGTTCGCTCAATCTAACTCTGGGTAGTTGCGTTACATGGAAATCTTAGTTTGGTTTGGATACTCTTAAGCACGGTGATGGGTTTCCGCATGTGTCAGACACCCGGCTGTCCGAAAACAGTGCTAACAGTACCGACACTCAAAGCTACTGAAGCTTCTCACCTTAACCCGAGAAATAATATGTTTCACCCACGAAATGTACAGTCAATTCACTTTACAGTATATTCTGTGAAGCGCCTTTGAGACATCTCAAGGACGTGACAAGGTACTATATCAAATGCATGGATTATTATTATTAGTAGTAGTATGATTATTATCAGTTTGCCACCAAATTTAATTTAGATTTTGCATCTATTTTATTACAAGTAAAAGCAAACCCTTGAAATTGCATTCCCCAAATCAAAAATATTCTCTATAAAGAAACGCAAAATATTTTGGGGGTGGGAGCTGGGAGCTGAGCTTTGCTTGTGTTTTTCTTATTTATATATATTTAATGAAAAGCTTCAAAACGCTTTAATTAACGAAATTAACGAGTTTTTTTTTTAATCCGATTTTTCGTTTAATATAACGAACGCTTCTGTGAATATTGTTTTCCCCCAATTCTGGCGAGTGCAGTGGTGGGTGATATGTGTTTTAGAATATTTTATAAATACGAATTGCACACAAGATCCACGTTTGTAGATATCGTGATTCTTTTGCAATTGAAACGCTGGAGAAAGAGGTTTCAAATGAATTATTTGGAACCCAATTTTTTTTATAAACGGCTCTCACACGTTAAGACAGATTCATTCCTTGAAACGAAATTATTCTTCAGTTTCTCGGGACATGAAAGACTGTGTTTGTTTCAACGTTTGTCTGGATTTGCAGACTGTTTTTTGCAATTTCTTTTTATACGAAAAAAATGTATTGCGGAATATTACGGAACGTTATTATTGATGATTGGATACATCCAACTCAACGTGTGTCTGTTTTACAGACGGTTTTGCAATTTTTTTTATTTAACAAAATGTATTTACAGAATATTATTCTTGATTAATAAATGAGTTCGCCCAGTGTCAGCATTTGTCCGGATGCAAACTGTTTTGCAATTTGTTTTTATTTAAAAAAAATGTATTCACAGGATATTATGATTGATTCTTGAGTACAATCCACCCAATAATTTCAACCTGTCGCTTTTTCTGTGCAAATTCCTGGGTCAGTGTTTTCAACAAAGCGAGACTTATTAATCTAATGGTCCTGTTGTTGTGTGTTTTCTTTTGTGTTACAAGAAAACTCGTAACTAGAAACGAATCGAATCATATATGATGTGAAATTAATAATATTTGCTCAATTCCTTTCTCTCTCCCTTTCACTCTGTCTCTCTCTCTCTCTCTCTCTCACACTCACCATCTTTTTCTTTCTCGCTTTCGTGTTTTGACACTAAAAGTGTCCCATTTCCAGTGCTGTGTCCAGTTCAGGACTGTGTTGTGTGCTGTTGGTCAGTGTTGAACGCAAAGAAAGCAAAAGACAGAGCGATGGTTTGGTCTTTTAGTCCAGGAGAGAATTTTTGCGCATTTCTAACTGATCAGCGGAAATTTTTGACGAATAAAAACTCCAATTCATATAAATGTACAGCCGAGTTACAGCATTCAACATTCAGCTGTTTAAAGCCGAACGCCACCGAGGAGGTGTGCGAAGATACACTTCGTAAAAGATTTCGATGTGATAAAAAAATTATAGCGAATCGGCGAGGAAATGTCGCATTTCACCCCCCCCTTGTACTTGTAGAGAAAGTTCTTGAAATGAACCGTTGTCAGGTGGAAAAGTCACAATTTCTTTGAAGTGAGCGGATGTAGGAAGTGGCTGAGAGGAGTGTTCAATGTTTTGAGGATTCACTTATAAAATGGCCCTTTTTTTTTACAGGTTAAAGATACTAAATCGGATGACATAGTCTATTTAAAGATGTGATTCTTGTGATCCTGCATGTGCTATGGACACATTATAATCCTTGCATGTTCCACCTTTCAGGATATCGCCCTAAAGAAAGCGCAGGATTTAATGTAAAGTGTAGTGACTGTGCAATTTGTGCACAGCAATGTGCCAAAAACAGGCAGAGAATAGTTTCTATTTTTTGCTCAGTCGGGTGTCTTGACACGTGCGGAAACCCATCACCGTGCTTAAGAGTCTCCAAACCAAGCTGAGAATTCCCTGCATCCCACCTACACATGGAAATCCCAGAGATAGATTGTTGGAATGGAATGCACTCCCTCTCCCTGGAGGGATGCATCCTGTTTACCTAATTCCAGAAAGTATTAGGCGCAGGTTGTGGCGGGAGCCAAGACGTGGGAAGCCGAGAGGGTGTATGGGGGTAACTGCTGGAGTCTAACAGCTAACCAGGCATTGAGTGAATGACCCATTTTATCTGGGATATTGTGGGCCAAGACATGAGGAGACACTCCCATGACGGTTGTTAACTAGTGGGAAGAGGTCTCATAGCAAATTAATGACATATGGAGTAAGTACACTTACCACAAATGTACAGGATGTTGATTTGGGCATTGAACCACTGTAGTGTAGTGGTTAGAGTGCCAGGTTCGATTCTAGGGGTAATAATCCCTTTTTTAAAAAGAAATTTAGTCACTCAATCTATGACTGTTTATGGGGCACTGCTGTACGCTGCCGCTTTTCGCCCACAAACTCTACAGTTGATTGCTTAACAGTGAATCATTTTAAGACATGATAAAGCGCTATATGAAATACAGGGATTATTGTTATTATTGTTGTTGGTGTGCAGATGTTCTGTGCACTGTTAGGTTTGAAACTGGACATGTTGAATGCTAAGTGTTTTAATTGGAAAAATCTATCAGATACAGATGCAATCCAACCTGCACAGGATTCCATCAATACATTACCACACAGCAGGCGTGTAGTCAGGGGAGATAACATTTGTCATCTTATAGTGTACATCCTTACCTGCCAGCATCGCTCCTCTTTCGCCCAGTTGGATCACGTGTAAGAGGTCAGAGCCAATTAATGATAGATAACCATTGGAATCTCTGACAATATTCCGCACACATGGATTTGTATGCGAAGCTGATTTGCAGGTTTGCGTACCATAGGGTGTGCAAGAATAATAATCTTTGCATTTGATTTAACAACAACAAATGGCATTTGTATAGACCTTATATATGTATAGCGCCTTATCACGTCATGGTGATGTCTCAAAGCGCTTCACAGAATATACTCTAAAGTGAATTGACTGTATTTGTTTGGGACGAAATGCGGCTCCTGAAAAATAGGGATCTTTGTTTGGTTGCTCATGTCCTGTAATGCTCCCTACCTGAAGGGCACTATAGAAAGGCAAGTTGTGGTTATTCTGACAATGCAGCCTTGCTCCCAGTCCATTCCTGCACTGCAGTGAGTGCCTGTATAACTAGCAATGTTATATGTTCTTGGACGTGAAGAAATCAGGAGGTGTGAAATTCATTAAATAAAGGACACCAAATAACGGAGAAATAAAGTGTAGAATTGTACAGGTGTGTGTAAAAGCAACAGCTTTATAGAGGATAATGGGAGTAATTGGGATACATGGGGAAATGGGAATAAAAGGGTTATCATGGGCAGCAATAGGATTGTACAGGATAAATGGGAGTAATAGGGATACACAGTACAATAGGAGCAATAGGATTATACAGGGTAATGGGAATAATAGCTAAGAAAGCACTTTCATATGACACATTTCTCATTAAGATCCGTTCTGCAAGATATTTTTGGGGTAGTCTTCAGCTGTTGTATGTCACAGGTGTAAATTGTAAAATAATGAAATAAATCACCTGAACAAGTGACTGGGTAACAAGAGGGGCAATTTCTGACCTGGTAGCCAGCACTGCTCAGCTGAGAGTTCGGGGAGGTATTTTTTTTGTATCTTTTAAGATGTTGTGACGTCTTAAAAGTGCTTGACGGAATGTATTTTGAGGCAGCCAATTGTGCTCAGCAGTGTCTCACAAACAGTCGTGGATTGAGCGACCAAATTATTAAATATTTTTTAAGGGATTATTACCTCCGGAAAGCAATCTACCAATTGACTAACAACCTCCCTCCTAGGGGGAGGGCAGGGGGGGAATTGACTGAGAGGAGGGGGGGAGAGAGAGAGAGTGATTGAGAGAGAAAGAGAGAGAATGTGAGGGAGAGAGGGAGAGAAAGAAACAAAGAGAGGGAGGGAGAAAGAGAATGAGAGAGTAGAGAGTCCTTCCAATTCACACCCTCCCTCCCTTCTTTGAAGGCATCAAGACCTAAACTTTGACCACACTTTTGGTCATCTTTTCCCCTCCCATCCCACCTCCCTCAGCCATGTCTGCTACATTTCCTAATTCCATTCCAGTGAAGAGTGCTCATCCACTGTATCTCCCTCTCTTAATCTAATGGAAACGAGGGTTTTTCTCTTTAAATAACTAACCCGCCTGAACAAATGTTAATTACTGCTCAGAACGAACAGTGGGAGATGTGCTTTGTGCATTGTTACTAAAAGCTGTTGGGGATTTTCTGTCTGACTTTCATTGGAAAGAATTGTAGAACATTTTTTTTAAAACTTAGTTTTGATCAAACATTAATCGCCTGTTTGAAACCAGCTGATTTCTGAGTCTGTTTTGTTCAGTTTTCAGATGTAATTTGATGCATTTGATCTTGTAGTTTGGATTGATTTGTTGAGATAAGAAGCTCTGAGACGCTGCCCTGTGGGAGGGGCACTATGTAAATGGAAATTGTTGTTGTAAATGGAAATTTGAATGAGCACGACTGGTTCATTGGGATTTATTTAGGGTTGGGGTGCGTTTGGGGTTGGGGTGCGTTTGGGGTTGGGGTGCGTTTGGGGTTGGGGTGCGTTTGGGGTTGGGGAGCGGTTGGGGTTGGGGAGCGGTTGGGATGCATTCTGGTCATTAGATTTAAAAACCTTCATTTGCGATTGAACCATTCACTTCAGTGTAATTTGAAATACTTCAGTGTTTTGCCCACAAAATATACTGTATATTCTGTGATAAAAGAACGTGATAAAGGGTTATATCGAATGCAAGGATTATTATTGTTATTATTCAGCCACAATTATATAGGAATTTCATCAGATTTCTTAGAATACTCTTCTTTATATCTATTAGTTAAGAGTTAGTTTTGGTAGCTCTACTAATAAAATACATCGATTCAATAAATTTATATTTGCTTCAATTGGCTATTGCATGCTTCAGCAAAAAGCAATATCACTCCTGTATCAAAGCGCATTGAGCCATTAATAGTCGATGCATTAATATGAAGGAATGTGTGTTAAGACTCTGGCAAAGCCCTTGTTATTTGATAAAGGTTATCACCCAAAAGAGAGAGGTTCAAATTCAAAGGGAACGCGATCGTTCCATGTGAACAGTTAGAATAGATCGATTTTCAATGCAGTTCTTTCAAAAGCCTCTTTACTAATTGTAACCATTCAAACCCACCAAAGCACATAAACACCTCACATCTTAAAACCTTTTACAGGTGGGTTTCCTGCTGTATTTGGGGTCGATTTCCTGAGGTATTTGGGTCGGTTTGCCGCTGTATGTGGATGAGTTGCCAGTTATATGTCGGTGAGTTTGCAGTTATATTTACGTGGGCTTGCTGCTGTTGTTTGTTGGGTGAGTTTCCTATGAGTGTTTATTTTGCAGAGTTCCTGGTGTGTGTTGGTGGCATTTGTTGGCGTGGGGTTTTGTTGAGGTGTATTTGCGGTTGAGGTTTGTTGGCATGTATTTGGGGCTGGGGTGTGTTTAGGTTTGCGGTATATTTTGAGTTGAGGTTTGTTGGGGTTGAGGTTTATTGAGGTTGTGTTGTGTTTGGGATGGGGGGGGTGTTTGGGGGTGGGGGGGTGTTTGGGGGTGTATATGGGGGTGGGGGTGTATATGGGGGTGGGAGTGTGTTTGGGGGTGGGGCTGTGTTTGGGGGTGGGGCTGTGTTTGAGGTGTATTTGAGGGTTGTTGAGCTGTGGTCTCTATTTGATGGGAAGTTAAATGGAATATCCAGAACCAATGCTTCCTTTTTTGATGTTACAATTTTATTTACAATTTACAATCTCAATGACACACTATTGCAGCTTTTAGCTTCAGCAGTTACCCCAACGCACACCCTGCGGACCCCAAGCCTTGGCTCTGGCCAACTTTTGCCTAATACTCTCTAGAATTGGGTCCCTTTGGAGAAAGGGAGAGCGTATTCCATTCCAACAATCTATCTCTAGATTTCCATGTGTAGGTGGGATGCAGGGAATTCTCAGCTTGGTTTGGATACTCTTAAGGGCGTGATGGGTTTCCACATGTATAAGGTACGCAGGTGACCCAAAAATGTTTACACGTTAGGACCGGCCGCAAACCAAACCAGATTCCCATCGCAGCTAAGGATGGATATTTAAACAAATCGGACACTTGTAGAGACTCAAGCGAATTAATATGTACAGAAAATAATCCATCCCACTTTGAATCGTCCACTTAAAAATTATTGCAGTCCATTTGGGGCAGAATATATATATATATAGATATATTTACGATAATCTCTATGATCCACAATCATTTCTTTCTGAAGTCTTCACGGAATTGTCGGTCGCTGTTTTATTTGAGGGATTCTTTTGGGGGGGAAATGAATGCCTTATGAGCAATCGACCGTATTCCTCAATAGATATACACAGTACCTCAATAGATAAATTCCCTAAAGTGTTCGCTGATGAAGCGAAAAGTACATGTTCTCTCCTTCAAGGTCCTTCCACAAGTGGCAAACACCATGTTTTACTTTGATTTGACTTTGATTTGATTTTAAAAGTGAATTAAAATGCATTATATGTCAATGTTGTGTGTTTGTGTGTGTTGGGGTGGGGGAGTTGAACTCAAATCAGAACCATACACTGTATCCGAGGAAAGGTTTGGTGAGTGTGAAAGGAATAGAAGATTTTGAAAGTTGTCTTGTGTTCAATTGCACCACAAACGGCATCGAGTGCATTAGCAATTTGCGAGCACAAGGATTAACTATAGGAAGAGGTGGAGTTAGTAATAATTATAATTTCTGAATTGCAAGACCTGAATTTTTGCAAACCTCTCGGTTAACAGATCCGTTGTTTCCTCAGTGGTAGAGAGAGGGATCGGTTTGAACTGTCCTCTCCTGACACTGTGTTTGCCAGAGATTTGGGTTTACATTATAAACTCGTATTCCTTTACACTACATTTATTACACACTCTGGTATATATTTAACATACATTTTTAAATATACTTTATCATCTGATGAGCTTTTGGTGGTCTGAAATGTGTGTTTTTTTATGTATATATATATATATGAGTTAAAAAAGCACATTTCCTTGTATATGTATATTATATATATATATTATATATATTTATAATGCATTTGAATTTGCACAGCAATTTAAGACCAGCAGTTTGTTGCTCTGTGTGTGTTACAGACGCATCCGATGAACATTTATTAACATTGGGGCGTTTTCATTTAAATCGCAAATAAATTCGATGTTGTCAGTTAAAAAAAAAACCCATTGTAAATGAAAAACAATTGAATTTCTTTCCAAACCAGTTTTGCTGGTGTCACTGCAATTTTCCGCATTATTGTTTAAATAATATACACATATATTATATATATATATATATATATTGTTTGTTTGAATTTAAAAATACAAATGCAACCCAATCTTGTCATTTTAAATGCACACGTACAGGTTTATATTTTTTTGCAAAATCTTGCATTTTTAAAAGAAATATATAAAGGTGTGTGTCTGTATGTACGTGTTTATGCATTTTAAAAAAGGAAATAACTTAAATTAGTCATTTATTTCAGCGCACGCTTCAAAAAAACGCCCCGAAAGCGAGTTTTTGGGGTAAAAAAGGGGGGAAAAAATCATGCATAAAACTTGTGTTTATTTGACATGGTTCCTGTGCTCTCGGTGGGCAGATTCCGAAGACATCTCGTCCAGCGACAGAAAATTTTCCAAATCGAATCTCAGTCAAACGAAAAAGCGAAAGAAAAGACGCCACAGGTACAAACTCCCAAATACACCACAGCTCATCAGTCAGTCGTTATAGCCACAGTCCTCATATCTGTCCAGTGTGTGTGTGTGTGTGTTTGTATCTGTAATAATAATATATGTATAGATCCAGGATGTGTGTATTTTATGTGTGTGTGTTTGTATCTATAATAATATTATATGTATAGATCCAGTATATGTGTGTGTGTGTGTGTGTGTGTGTTTGTATCTATATTAATATTATATGTATATAGATCCAGTATGTGTGTGTATGTATCTATAATAATATTATATGTATATAGATCTAGTATATGTGTGTTTGTATCTATAATATTATATGTATATAGATCCAGTATATGTGTGTGTGTGTGTGTGTTTGTATCTATAATAATATTATATGTATATAGATCTAGTATATGTGTGTTTGTATCTATAATAATATTATATGTATATAGATCTAGTATATGTGTATGTTGTGTGTGTTTGTATCTAAAATAATATTATATGTATATAGATCCAGTATATGTGTATGTTGTGTGTGTTTGTATCTAAAATAATATTATATGTATATAGATCTAGTATATGTGTGTGTTTGTATCTATAACAATATTATATGTATAGATCCAGTATATGAGTATGTGTGTGTTTGTATCTATAATAATATTATATGTATATAGATCTAGTATATGTGTATGTTGTGTGTGTTTGCATTGATCTGGGGAATGTGTGTGTGTGTGTACCTATCTTGTGTATGTGTTGAAAGTATCTAATCCATAGTCTCACTCGTCAGTGTCTATCGGTCTCCTTTTATTTTCTTCCCTTCATTCCTATATATTCGTTCCTATTATAAACCATTTTTGGTCCACCCCCCCCCCCCCCCACACACACACATTTCTCTGGACTTGTTTTGTGGCTTCCCCTCGGCTGTATCGTTTTTTTTTAAAAAAGGAAAAAAGAAACTATTTTTATACATTTATACATATTTATATATTTCAGTATGAAATTCGTTCATTAAGTGACAGGTGCGTAAAAATAAAGACAGCAAATCGGGTTTGCAATTCGCGTCTAATTTTATTTGTTAAAAATACACAAGTTAGTTGCATGCACTGTACTATTACATGGGTGCCAGGGGAATGGATGCAGTTAATTTTCTGTGTGTTTTTTTTTATTTAAAAAAAAAGGACTATTTTCACCTCTTACCAACTGGAGGAATTGGAAAAAGCGTTTAACGAGGCTCATTATCCCGACGTTTACGCGCGAGAAATGTTGGCGATGAAAACAGAGTTACCAGAAGACAGGATCCAGGTAAAACTTATACACACACACACAGAGAGAGAGAGAGAGAGAGAGATCAGAGAAACGCCCAATCGACTGTGTGAAACTTACAGCAAAATCATCACAATAAATAATAATAATACCGATAGACTATATAAAAGTCTGGATTTATACGGAGGGAGATCAGGGCGAGGGACGAATGTGTGAAACTTACACCCAGCAGCAAAATAATACACGAATAATTAATAATAATAATAATAAAATACCAAGAATATAAGATATTGGGCTATACACAATTCCGGATTTATACGGTGGGAGATGGTGGCGATGGACATGTCTATGAGGATAATGTAGGGATGGAGATGGAACAGATTGAAAGCCTCTGAATGGTTTCATTGCAAGTTAAACGCGTGTTTCTGAGAGATTTTTTTGCTTTTGCCACGAATTGCCCAGATCTGAGACGTTCCCACGCTTTTCTGGTCGGAAGTGAAATGGGTACATTTCAGGCGGTTGCATTTCGGTTGCATTTCCAGCTGAAACAGCCCTCCCTCCCCCTCCCCCTTCAGTAAATAACTCTGGGTTAAATTGCGATTTTCCAAACCATCTTTTCGATGAGACCCTTTTTTGCAGCCTTTGACACCCAGAACCGATTGGAGACCAAAACAGCGCCGTGACATAGCCTGATGTAGTCCTACCAAATGGCAGGACTGCTTTTTAAACGTTGCATTTTGTTGAACTTGTTATATTTGATAATAAATAATAATAATCCTTGCATTTCATCTCGGAAAGGCTTTATCACGTCGTCGAGACGTCTCAAAGCGCTTGCCAGGATATACCGTAAAGCGGCCCGACTGTATTTTGTGGATGAAAAGTGTATTTGTACGTAAATGTACTTGGAATTGCCGATGCTCTATTCTCAAACAGATTTGTTTCTTTTAAAACAAATATCCTTTCAAAGTGTAATCGAATATATCTTTGTTGAGAGGAGAGATGAATAACCCTTACATTTGATACGTCGCCTTTCACATCTGAAAACCCTTCACGGGATTTTACTGGAAAATGTAGCGAATAAATGCATTTATTCTATTAAATAAATATTTTGCTGGAATTTCCATTTTCGGCCTTCAAAATATACAGTCGATTCGCTTTACAGTATATTCTGTGAAGTGCTTTGAGACATTTCAATGAAGTAATAAGTCGTTGTGTCAAATCCAAAGATTATTATTATTATTTCAATGTGTGGGTGGGGTGCACAGAATTCTCAGTTTGGTGATGGGTTTTCGCATGTGTTAGATACCTGGCTGACCCCCAAAAAGTGTAGTGACCTATGTGTTTGTAGGCCATGTGAGAAAAATACCAAATACTTTAATTCCAAAGTTAATTATCTGGTATCAAAACATCTAATCCACAGGTTTGATGGGTTAAATGGCCTCCTTTTCCTGTTTTCAATTAAGTTGTAGATTGAAAGCTTATTGAGAGATTAAGATGGTTTATATTGTTTAATAATGGATATTTTGGAATAAGATACAGGTTGGAATTGAAGATTAAGACTTCCTTTACAAAAATAGTCATATATATTGAGACTCTTAAATGCTATCCTGCTTTAAGGCTGCTATATGAATGCTATTTAAGTTATAATACTGACAATAATCATAATCCTTGCATTTGATATAGCGCCTTATCACATTGTTGAGATGTCTCAAAGCACTTCACAGAATATACAGTAAAGTGAATTGATTGTGTATTTTGTGGGTAAAACATGGCAGCCAATTGTGCACAGCAGCGTCCCACAAACATAAAATGACCACATTTTTTTTGCGGGGTTATTGCCCCTGGAAAGCAATCCTTCAATCAACTAACAACCGGGTTCCTACTTGTTGCTAGGTAAACAGAGGAGTGTGGAGTAAGGAAACTTCCCCAAGGTTAAACTCTGTCCGGTAATCAAACCCAGATCGTCTTGCTTGCGAGGCGAGAATCAATACGCTACAGGACTCCATATTGTTTTGTTTAAATGAATATTTATTTCCCTCCAAAAGATATTCATTTCCTTCCAAGGGATCAGATCCGATCGGTGATTCACCTAACTTTAGTGTGGGACAATTATCAAGAATTAAAATGGGTTTGGAAAGACACCAGGAAGTGTTGATGTTGACAAGGAAGGGCGATAGAGGCCTGAACATTTGACTCGTTTAAGAAAATCCGCTTGATTCTGTAATGGCCAGACAGTATGGTGGATGTTCTAAAACGATGAGATCAAATTGTCTTCTTCTGTAACTTTCTTGTGATCTTGCGAGGGAGCTGGACACCATCAAAGCAAAGTCTAAGAGAAAGATAACAGACAAAATGAACCAGTTGTTAGGAGAGGCCAAACATGTGGTTCAGATACTGTTGGGAGACTGTTTCACCCACAAAATACACAGTGACTCCACTTTACAGTATATTCTGTGAAGTGCTTTGAGACATCTCAATGATGTGAGAAGGCGCTATATCAAATGCAAGGATTATTATTAGTAGTAGTAGTGATAATTACTCATGAGCATTCCTGAGACGTCGAGAAGACATGATAAGGCGTTACATCAAATGCAAGGATTATTATTAATTAGAGGGAAAGCCTGAGGGAGGGAAGGAGGTTCTAGGGAAATAATTAACTGGAGGAGAACGTGCTTGAGTTTTGAGTTGAACAGACTGTGTGTTGGTACGGGATGGTGTGAAGGGTGACGGTGATTTATTTGGGGTTTAGAAGGAAGATTGGAAGGTTCAAAGGAACAATGATCCCAACGTTATTGATACATAAAGAGAGAGAGAGAGCAAAGGCATAAGATGGGAAAAGGTTTGGATGACACACCTTTTCCTTTGTCTGTCTGGTCCAGGAGGACCAGGGAGGTTCTGGAAGAGCCAGAGTGACCCAAAGTGAGGGAAGGGGAAATCAGGACCATCAGTATTATTCACCTTCAGTCTGTGGGTATCGTGTGGGTATCTTGCGGTGAGCAAATTGGCTGGACCACAAAACCAGTCGCTGCACTTGAGTTGTTATTTTGGAGTCCCGTAGTGTAGTGATTAACGCATTCGCCTCACAAGCGAGAGGACTGGGATGCGATTCCAGGGAGTGGCGAAAACTTAGGCAAGTTTCCGTCCTCCACACGCCTCTATTTACCTGGCAGTAAGTAGGAACCCGGTGGTTAGTCGATTGGTGGATTCCTGGATCGCTTTCAGGGGGTGATAATCTCTCAAAAAAAAATTTTGGTCATTCAATCTATGACTGCTGTGCGCAATTGGATGCTATGTTTTACCCACAAAATACTCAAGTGAATCCACTTTACAATATATTCTGTGAAGCGCTTTGAGACATCTCAATGAATGTGATAAGGCGCTATATCAAATGCAAGTTTATTATTAGCAGTAGTAGTAATAATTACTCATGAAGCGCTCCTGAGACATTTCGACATGTTAAGGCCTCATAAAAACACCAATTACTTCCTCCTCTCTAAGTGAAGCGTGATTGCTATAATATCTTGTCACCTGGAAGAGAGGGAGGTGGGGGCGGAGGCGAGGGGGGCTCGGTGGGGGTGGGGGGGGGGAACTTGGGTGGTCAACTTAAACAGGTGTCAATGATTCCCTGGCCCATCTCAGTATTGCTTGATTAAAATACAGCGAAGGAGAGAGACAGAGAGTGGGAGAGAACATTAGAGAGAGAGAGAGAGAGAGAGATAAATTATACCAAAATGAAATATATCTCATCCAACACATCAGGCAGCTGTGGACATGAGGCGATTTTTAAAATGATAACAACCTAATCAGGAGAGGGAAGATTACGGGGCGACCCGAAGCCATCAATCTGCCACCGGTTTTAATTTCATTTCCATTACAGGGCAATTCAAGAGAATTCTGCAGCAAAATTAACACCCAATTTTCCCCGATTTTAATTAGTTAAATCACTAGACGGAGTGGTCCCCAGTGGGGCAAGTGGTGAGGGGGGGGAGGGAGGGAGGGAGCGAGGTGGGAGAATCAGTTAAGATGAAAATGATAACGGCGAGGCTGTAATTAGGATGGGTCAATGGCTTGGCTCCCCTGAGCCGGGCTGATTTAATTTCCCGTGATATTTGGACGTCTGTCACCTAAGCTGTCCCATCGATTGATGCAGAAATTAACTTATTTTTCAATCAGGCTCCGGTTGCCCCCTGGGTCGTTTCTTCCCTGCCTTTTTTGCAGTTGAAGTGATTTTTCATCAAGAGGCTGTCTATGATGTGAGAGAGCTGCAATCATGATTACAAAAGACCTCTTACTGATTTTGACAATTTTTCAAACCCCCTTCCCCCACCCCACAACACCAACACACACACACACACACACACACACACACCACAACCACCTGACCAGTCGATGTGTAATGAGCGCTCACATTTCTTGTAGAGAGATAGAGAGAGAGAGAGATGGAGAGATAGAGAGAGAGGATGGAGGGAGGGAGGGGAAATGGCATGTCAAAACCTCTCCGATAGGAATGTGGATCTTTAGCCATGAGTGACAGCAGGTTACAGGTTTTATCACCAGGTGTTGTGTAGGTTCGGCAGATTCAACCCCTGTTGATGTCACTCCTGGGGATAGTTCCTGCATTAATTTTTAATCGTTACAGTCTTAATTATGTTTTATTTAAAAAAAATCTCATGCCAATAGCGTTTCGACTAACTAAAGAGCCTTTGTCTGCCCGTCCTTTCGCCCACCGTCCGAATATACAGTATTGCATTTGATTTGGAGCCTTTGATACCGATAATCTTTACATTTGGTGTAGCTAGCGCCTTATCACGTCTTCCAGACGTCTCAAAGTGCTTCACCAAATATACTGTAAAGTGGATTGACTGTATTTTCTGGGCGAAACGTATTTTCTGGGCAGCCAATTGCGCACAGCAGCGTCCCACAAAAAGTCATGGATTGAGCGACCAAATTATCTTTTTTCATGGTGGGAGGCTGACTCAAAGGGCTACACAGGATTTACTGTCATTTGTTTTGTTGTACATCTAAAATATAACATATAAATTGGTCACTCAGTCCACGACTATCTGTGGGGCACTGCTGGGCGCAATTGGCTGCTGCGTTTCACCCACAAAATGTACAGTTAATTCACTTTATGGTATATTCTGTGAAGCGCTTTGAATCATTTCAATGACGTGATAAGGCACTATATCAGAGGCAAGGATTATTATTGTTATTACATTCAACACTAGGCTTTATGGAGTTGATACCTTGATTGAAAGTATGTTAACACTGTTGATTCTTTCGACCTTTCCCCTCGCATTTCCCATTCCCACTTCCCTGCATCTCGCCCCTGCTGGACAGGTGTGGTTTCAGAACCGCAGAGCCAAGTGGAGGAAGCGGGAAAAGTGCTGGGGGCGAAGCAGTGTCATGGCGGAGTATGGGCTTTATGGAGCCATGGTGCGCCATTCCATTCCACTGCCGGAATCCATCCTGAAATCAGCAAAGGACGGAATTATGGAATCCTGTGCTCCCTGGCTTCTCGGTAATTACTTTTACTCTTTGATGGCTAGCGATGTGGTTTTAGTTGGTTAGACTCCAGCAGTTACCCCCAACGCACACTCCGGGCTCCCCCAATCCTTGGCTCTTGCCAACCTAATACTTCCTGGGATTAGATTAAGCAGGAATGCATCCCTCGGTGGAGAGAGAGAGAGAGAGAGAGAGAGAGAGAGTGCGCATTCCATTCCAGCAATCTATCTCTGGGATTTCCATGTGTAGATGGGATGCCTGGAATTCTCAGCTTAGTTTGGAGACTCTTAAACACGGTGATGGGTTTCCCCACGTCTCAGACACACGGTTGACGAAAAAAGGAGCTCTGGTTTATATGACATTCCCACTGCTTGATGTGTTGCAGTGTTGCCTTAAGAAACAGATGAGAAAGTGATTTGAGCCATATTTACAATCAATAAATAGGCTTATGCAATTCTGGATTTAACTGAAACTTTAACCTCTAGATGCCTTGGACTGTTTGTAGAAACTGATAGACTTTCTTGAGATTCTTAATGCATTTGCTCATGAGATCTATGCTCTGCTTTATGTATTGATATAATATAATAATAATAATTGCTTTTGATGCAGCGCCTTATCAATTTGATATTGAGACGTCTCAAAGCGCTTCACAGAATATACTGTAAAGTGAATTGACTCCATATTTTGTGTACAAACCGCGGCAGGCAATTGCGCCCAGCAGTGTCCCACAAACAGTCGTGGATTGAGTGACCAAATTATTATTATATGGGTCCACTTCATGCCTGTTTGGAGAGCGTTGCTGTGCACAAATTGGCTGCTGCATTCACTGACAAGTCGACTGTCATAGTCATTGCCGTTCACAGCAAAATCTTGTGAAGTGCTTTGAGCTGGACAGCGTGATAAGGGGTTGTGTCAAAATGGAAGAATCATTATTTTATCCTCACTACTCGCCCTGAAAAACTGTCCTTATTTCTTCTGTTGAAACCTTTTGTGTCTAATGCACCCTGACCTAACCTGACCTATACTATCTGTGTTAATTGAAGCCTGGCTCCCTCGTTCCTACTACAGTTTAATCTTGGCATCTTTCTTTGCTTACCGTTTTCAGTTCAAGATGGCTTACCAATGACCAGGCGATTTTCTAAAACCGAGTACCAACAATTCTTTCTAGGAATGCACAAAAAGTCGCTGGAGGCGTCTGAGGTGGTGAGGAAAGTGGAAGCCGAGCACGGCGGTCAGTCCGGCAAAGAGGAGGGCGAGCGGCAAGACAAGGGCAAAGACCCCGTCAACTCAGCCATTTCTAAAGAGGAACTGCGGGAGAGCAGTATAGCGGCTCTCAGGGCCAAAGCCCTGGAGCACAGCGCTAAAGTGTTAGGAACCGTGGCTGGCGAGAGGCAGCCGAAGAAGAACGAAGAACGGCCCGAAGAGACCAAGAGCGAGGAATCGAAGGCCACTCGAGAGGAGAAACCCACCGAAAAGTAACTGTGTTCCACGAAACCTTTCAGCTCTTAAAACCACAGTCTTTGTACAAATGCAGTGAGCCGGTCAGTGTGCGTGTGTGAGTGTATGTGTGTGTGCCCAGAGACAGCTACACACCAGGGGCGATGGGTCTGATGCTGTTTCTCTTCTCTCTTGGGGAGCGTTGTATTTTTTTTCCTGAGGTCACTCCAACCCAGGCTGGTGTTGTGTGCGTGTGTGCATTTTTTTTTAAAACAATATATATATATATATATATATATATATTAGCTGCTGCCGTTTTACTTGCCATCTCGCTGGTGTTTTGAATGACAGATGTGTTAGAGATTCGGCCCAACTCAAAACATGGGTGGATTTTTTTTGTTAGATTTTGGATATTCCAGAATTAGTCGTGTTCATTTCGGCAAAAATCCTTTTCAAATCCCAAATTCAAGCTTGTAACTCGTTATTTTGCCACTCGCCCTCATCCCCAATCACCCCGGCCCACACCCCCAATTACCCTAGGACTCACCTCCAATCATTCCAGCTTGTAACTTGCTCCCAAAGGATCCATCAATCTATCTCTACACCATTTGAACCTCTCGATTACATTCCAGCCTGTAATTTACCCTTGGGTATCCATTTACAACAATAAATTACATTTACTCAGCGCTTTTCAAGTCGGGAGGACATCGCAAAGCCCTGGACAGTCAGGCATTTGGACCCGAGCTGGGGGGTGGGTGGGGTTTGGGATCAGGAGGGGTGGAGGGCAGGGGTAGGAGGGTGATTGAATGCATGGTCGAAGAGGAAGGTCTTGAGACTTCCCTTGAAGGAACCAAGGGAGGGGTTTACAACAATAACTTTTTTAAAGCTCCTTTCACAGGATAGTGTCTCAGAGCACTGCACAGTGGCGGAGTTGGACTGTTGTGTATGTGTAGAGATATATAATTATATAACACCCCAACTCTACATGAGCCACTTAATGACTTTACCAGAAATCAACATATAGTTCCTGGCCAACTTGAAGAACAATTTATATATTTTTTTGGTCAGCCGAGTGTCTGAAAGATGCAGAAACCCAACACTTGCTTAAACCAAACTGAGGATTCCAGGCATTCCACCTACATATGGAAATCCAAGAGATAGATTGTTGGAATGGAATTTGCTCTCTCTCCCTGGAGGGACACATCCTGCTTCCCAAATCCTGGAAAGTAATAGGTGCAGGTTGGGAGGAGCCAAGGCTTGGGAACTGCAGAGTGTGAGTTGGGGGTAACTGCTGGAGTCCAACCAACTAAATAGTCACTTGGAAAGTTACGGAGAGGCTTCTCCTATCTGTAACCATCTGGTCTGTCGGGAAAGATCTTTGTGTCCCTTTCCCATTTCCTCTTTAAACAGGTGGTGCCATTTCTCCATTATCAATACCCGTGTTTGAGAGATGCTCTGAGTAGACAAAAGCGAGTCAGAAAACTGAAAAAAAAAATTATATAAAAAAAAGTCAAGTAAATGGTAGTTTTTGATGTTTCCGGAGAACAACTGGAATGGTGTGGCGTAAAGACTTTGTATTTTAATAGTTTTTAAGTTGTATTTCTGTAATTAAACACGAGGTCGCCAATCCAGCAATTGTCCGAAGAAGTCATCCACTGAAATCAGCAGCCCATTTCTGGAAGAGAATAGACCAAGATTTCTTTGGTCGTGAAATGATTGCCTGTAATTTTATATTTTATCGATACATCGGTGAATTTCACAATATTTTTAATAGAAATATAGACGTTTCACCTACAAAATACTCAGTCAATGCGACGTTTCAACAACGTGATAGGGCGCTATATCAAATGCAAGGATTATTATTATTAGATTGGGTTCTTGTGTCTTCCCTGACTGAGGGCAGGCACCTCTGCTTCCTGATGGCTGTCTTAGTCGCTATCATTTGCATTGTCTATGTAGCTCAAGATCTCAGCTTGGCAACTCTAAACAGTAATCAGTAAACCCAGACAGACCTCGAACCCTGCCCTCAGCCCACTGCAACCGAGATTGTGATCCTTCAAATCTGAACTCACCAATAATAATAATAATAATAATAATAATCCTTGCATTTGATATAGCGCTTTTCACGTCGGAAGGACGTCCCAAAGCGCTTCACAGAACACACTGTAAAGTGAATTGACTGTATATTTGTGGGCGAACGCGGCAGCCAATTGCGCACAGCAATGTCCCACAAACAGTCGTAGATTGAAAATGACCAATTTATTATTGTTTTTGGTTTTGGAGGGATTATTATTAGGCTCTGTGTGGAGTAAGGAAACTTGCCCAAGGTTTGGCCCTCTGCCACCAACCAACCTGAGACCCCAAATCTTACCTATTCGAGTCTCTGAGACAGATCACTTTCCTTACTACACACACACACACACACACACACGCCTCTGTTTACCTAGCAGTAAGTAGGAACCCGGTTGTTAGTTGATTGGTGGATTGCTTTACGGGGTTAATAATCCCTTCCAAATGTGTGTATATGTGATATATATATAATTTGGTCTCTCAATCCATGTCTATTCATAGGACACTTCTGTGGGCCATTGGCTGTAGACTTTTGGAATAGGAAATGGTGACAAACCCATCACCATTACTTACTGCGAAACAATCTTAATTGAAAAGTGGGAACGGACCTTTTCTCAGCAGGCATCTAGTGGGACCAGTGACAGGAGAGATGAATGACCTTCTCTCCCCTCTACTCAAGCCAGCAGTTGCAAGGTCAGCAGAAGCTGCAGATATTCAGCCTGTTCGTCATTCCATCGGAAGCGTGACAAATATAACTTTGCCAGTAAAATTGAAGCGATGTATTAGTATTAAACTATTGAACTTCAGAAGTTTTTTTTTAAGGTTAAGCATGTGCTTTTTTCCCATTTCCCTCTTGTGTGTGTTCCCTACAGCACACACTGCTCCCCCCGTGGCTTTAGCATAGTTGCAAACACCACTCCTATGCGGTCAGTCGGGGGGCGAACAAGAGGAGCCCAGGGATATATGTCTGACACGTGCGGAAACCCATCACCTGCTTAAGAGCCTCCAAACCAAACTGAGAATTCCCTGCATCCCACCTACACATGGAAATCACAGATTGTTGGAAAGGAATGCGCACACTCTCCCTGGAGGGACGCTGCCTGCTTACCTAATTCCGGAAAGTATTAGGCGCACATAGCTTCTCGGAGTGATGGTTTGGAGGGGTTCAATGTTCTGACACCACACTGATTTGGCCGGTAGGGGACGTGCAAGAGTAGCCTCAAATCCACACCCACCTCCAATTTACCTCCACTGCACTCAGCACTGAACTTAAACACAATTTTCCAAAACAAATCTATTTTACTTCTTAGCAATTGAGGTAGTGGATTTTTTACTCTCGGATCCGCGCGTGTGTTTTATCAATCTTATTGCCATTGCGCACAGCCAGTTAGGTCCCGGTTGAGTTGATCTTTGCAACGCTGCACCGAATCGATTAAAATCAGTGATTTTTTAAGTAAAGTCTGTGTCCCAGTCTGGCTTTGGTGTATTTTACTGTATTCACATTATCAAAACAGTTAGGGTTCGGAGCCCATTTGCTGTTGCCAAGAACAGCAAAATCTGTTATGTTGAGGCCGATGCATTTGGAAGGAAAATCTCAACACAGTAAAGGATCTTGCAAGAGATTACGCCTTGTTTTATAAAGATAGGATAGCGTGATGTTTTTTTTTATTGACCTGTATGTTTCACTGTTGTTCAATTCTAGAGTCGTCTATAAAGGACTTGCGGGCGGTGGAGTTGTGGGTATCTAGTAGGATAGCAATAAACAAGTGATGTTGCAAAGTGCTTCAAAGTTTTGCCATTGAGTGTGAAAATGACTCAAACTTTCACCCTTCTGTCCTGGAGGGTGGAGAGTGATCTTTTTGTAGCTCATCACGTCATGCTTAACCCACCTCTTCCCTGCACAAATCATTGCCATCAATCCCTTCAGTTAGGAAATCCCTTATGTTGTACGCCAATATGTAATGCTTCACTTTATTCCCAAGATTAAAGTCCCGTAGTTTAGTGGTTAGTGCGTTCACCTTGCAAACGAGAACCCCTGGGTTTGATTCCCAGACCTTTGGCAGGTTTTCTTACTCCACATACTTCTGTTTACCTAGCAGTAAATAGATACCCAGTTGTTAATCAATTGGCGGATCTCTTTCCAGGGGTAATAATCCCTCAAAAAAAACATTTGAGTCAGTCAATCCATGACTGTTTGTGGGACATTGCTGACCACAATTGGCTGCCGTGTTTCGTCCATAAAATACACAGTCAATCCACTTTACAATCTATTCAGCCTCCCCAACTATATCCCCCTGATGACGTGATAATGACATGATAAGGCGCTATATCAAATGCAAGGATTATTATTATCAAGACTAGTGTTCTGCCTTCACACATTTAACTGAAGTCTTTGAAGTCTTTGCATTACTCTTTGACCACCGCTCAGATCCCTGGGATGTAAATCTCTTGAAGCCTTCACTAATTCCCTATTTCTGAGCATGATGACAACCTGAGCTGGCGATGCAACATTTAAGCAATAATGTAAGCGTGGGAGAGGGGGTGGGAAGGGAAGTGGGGGGGGGGGGGGGGGGGGAGGAGGAAGGAGGTAGAATGTTCTTTCTAGGACCTCTCATTCATATCCTAGCTGGGCAGAGAGGATTACATCTCTGCATGGAAGAGAATTGGGTTTGAACTCAAGCCAAGCAGATAAGATGGAGATATATATAGGAACAGGATTGGACCATTCAGCCCCTTGATCCTGTTCTGCCATTCTATTAGACCATGGCTGATCTGTACCTCAGCTCCAATTAATTACTTAGATTTCCTCCTCTCTGCATATCATAGCTATGTTTCTGTACATGAAGGACAGCGAAATAGCTCACTAATTGAGCCTTCCCACCCATATTCTCCTGAGCGTATCAAAAAACGAGTCATTTCTTCATCTCCTTGTTTTCTCCAGCTCATCCTGTGATGATGTGATGTTGATCGGATGGACCTAAATAACAAAGTTACTGGAATGTAAAGCCTCTCTCTGTAAATGATGTACATACCCTGACCCAGTGCTGCTGGGCTACCTGATCATGGAAATATATTGGACTGTAGTTACTGAAATTCTGTGTTTCTTGTTTGAATTTCTGTAAAAAAAAATCACATTCACAAAATAAATGGTGCAATGAGAATTCGGGCCATGGTTCCAAGCAGCGTCTCATTCTATAGGTTTCACCCACAAAATACACAGTTGATTTATTTTACAGTATATTCTGTGAAGCGCTTTGAGATGTCTCGAAGACATGATAAGGTGCTATATCAAACTCAAGGATTACTGTTATTATTTTACCTACAAAATACACAGTCACTCCACTTTACGGAATATTCCTTAAAGTGCTTTGAGATGTCTCAACAACTGATAAGGTGCAATATCAAATGTAAGGTTTATTATTAGTTAGGGGAAGATAAGATCAAAAAATAATATTAATGTGATCACTCAATCCTCAACTGTTAGTGGGACACTACTGTAGGCAATTAACTGCTGCGTTTCACCCACAAAATATACAGTCAATTCACTTTACAGTATATTCTGTGAAGCACTTTGAGACGTCTCAACAATGTGATAACGCACTATATCAAATGCGATGATTATTATTATTATTTAAGGGAAAATAATATCAAATAATTCAGTCCCAGGTTGGCACCGGGAGCTCCGAGCGCGGTGTGATTGATGCACATAAGGAATCCATGGAGCAGTAGCCTTGTGTCCAGGAGTAAGGAGGATGTATTGTAGTGAATAGGAACATAGGAACAGGAGTAGGCCATTCAGCCCCTCGAGCCTGCTCTTACGAGCATCTTTCAGTAATAAAAAAAAATCCCTTTTGCGAGGACTCTTTCACATCCTGGTATTCTCATTTCGAGGCTTGTGTCGGGAGAGCTGGGGTGCTGACACTCGATTATTGAAGGAACGACGCGGAGAGAAAATCAAGAGACGGACTATTTAACTGCACTTTTCGATCACGCGTGAACACAGCAATGAATTACCATTGAAAGAGTGTCCAGTATTCCTAAAGCTTCTTCAGGGGGGCCACAATTCCTGCACCAACGTCAGTCAGTGTTCAACCACATCTGCAGAGCAAGGCGACAGCAACAAGGGGTGAATTTTATGACGCTTGCGTTTCTTGCATTTGCCCGATCGCTCAGACGCATTCAAAGCACTTCAGGTAATGTCTGTGCGCTCTCACCTCTGAGTCAGAAAGAGAAAGAGAATGTATGGTAGAGAGAGAGAGAGAGAGAGCGTGAGAGTGTGTGTGAGAGAGAGGTCCCGCATGTCTGTTCAGGTGGACACTAAAGACCGCGTTGCACTATTCGACAACGTTCTAAAATCAGCAACTTGAGACGTCCTTTCGACGTGAGAGGCGCTAAATAAATGCAATTTGTTGTTGTTGTTGAATTACAATTAAAAGCGGTCCTGTAGCGTATCGGTTGAAGAACTTGCCTTGCAAACGAGAGGACCCGGGTTTGATTCCTGGGCACGGCGAAACCTTAGGCAAGTTTCATTACTCCTTACTCCACGCACCTCTATTTACGTAGCAATAAGTAGGAACCTGGTTGTTAGTTGATTGGCGGATTGCTTTCCGGGGATAATAATCCCTCAAAAAAAATTGGGTCACTGTTTGTGGGACACTGCTGTGTGCAATTGGCTGCCACATTTCACCCACAAAATATACAGTCAATTCACTTTACAGTATGTTCTGTGAAGGGCGTTGAGACGTCTTGAAGACTTGACAAGGCGCTCGATCAAATGCAATGATTATTATTATTATTATTATTAATTAAAAACGATGGGACCAAATTCAATGTCTCTGGTAAGTCTTGTGTGTGTGTGTGTCACTTAATTGTCTTATTTATTCTCAAATGTCTTCCTCACAATTAGGTGCCACACACACACACACACACAAGACTTACCAGAGACATTGAGTTTGCTCCCATCATTTTTTGGAGGAGGGGGATTAATCTAAAAAAAATTCCTTACATCGTTTAAACTAAACCTGAGCTTGGAGGTAAAACTGGATTGCCCGTGATAAAAAGGAATCGAAACACACACAGTCAAGGCGTCTTGACTTGAGTTGCAAGTGTTAAGTGGGTGTGTTTCCTTTTCTCTAAATATGAATTGCTGTGATCATATTACAGTGACTGCGCCTGAAATGGACAAGTTGACTTAGTCAATTTCACATGTGGCCTGAGTGTGTGCACAGGCGCAGTTTAAACCCTCTCGTCACTGTATAGTTCTGCGGACAGGACAGGATACTTAGTGGTGGTTGGGTTGGGGGATTGGGTAGGGGGGGTAACAACATATATACCTGTATATATATATATATCCTGTGTAAAGTTCTATAGATTTGGGGCCAGGACAGGGCAGGGGACAGTGTGGTTGGATGTGGGGAGGAGGGGGGGAGAGGNAAAAAATACATATATATCCTGTGTCAAGTTTTACCCTTGAATAATCGGGATCTCACTCACCATGTCCTCGCTGCTGAGATGGGGATCTGCTTGTCTGAGGTATAGACATGTGTTCCTCCAGCGCTTACACAGGAGCGTGGGAACCTGGAAAACGGCGCCTGGCGGCTCTCCCTTCAACCTGACAGCTTACATGCCCGAATCCGCCAGCTTCCCTGACGCCGGGGACCACAGGGGCCTGTACCAGCTGTCGGTAGAGCAGCCTGAGCGCTTTTGGGGCGCTCTGGGCAAGGAGCGCCTCTCCTGGATCTCTCCCTTTCACACTGTGAGAGACTGTGATCTGAGCAGGGGCAGGATCCGATGGTTCGATGGGGGCAAACTCAATGTCTCTGGTAAGTCTTGTGTGTGTGTGTGTATGTGGGTTGTGGCACTTAATTGTCACCTCCTAAGGTGACAATTCCTAAGACACTTTTGGAGGAGGGGGATAATAATAAAAATAATAATAATAATCCTTGCATTTGATACCGCGCTTTATCACATGGTTGAGACGCCTCCAAGTGCGTCACAGGATAGACTGTAAAGTGGAGTGACTGTGCATTCTGTGGGCGAAACACGGCAGCCAATTGCGCACAGAGGTGTCCCACAAACAGTCGTGGATTGAGTGACTAAATTATTAGTTTTTTTTAGAGAGATTATTACTTTTGGCAAATTTCCTTACTCTACACGCCTCTGTTTACCTAGCAGTATGTCGGAAACCGGTTGTCAGTCAATTGGAGGATCGCTTTCCAGGAATAATAATCCCTCCCACCCCCCCCAAGATTGGGTCATTCAATCCAGTCAAAAATAATACACAACAAAAATACACATCAATCCACTTTACAATATATTCTGTAAGCTCTTTATTAGTAATAGAATATTTCAATTTGTTTTGTGACATCCCTAAAAAATAATAATAATTTAGTCACTGATCTTGTAATTTGCATTTTGTGAGCAATTGGCTGCTGCATTTCGCCCACAAAAATATGCAGGCAATTTACTTTACAGTATATTTATTCTGTGAAGCACTTTGAGATGTCTGAACAACGTGATAAGATGCTGCATCAAATGCAAGGTATTATTTTATGGGTCACTAGCAAAATGCCAAGTCCCCAAGTCAGCTCAATGAACTTACCCAGAAACATTTAATATATCTCAGTCATGAAAGAGTGTATCTCCCGGGATCAGTTTCACAATTTTATAAACGTCAGGCTGGACTGTGGACTTTTACACGGCTACAGGAGCTGCCAGGATCCATTTCCCGAAATAAAGGAGTAAACAACTTGGGACCGAAACAGAGGGTGCAATACAAGGAGGGGGAATAAATCTGCAGCACTGTGTAGAAACTCTCTGTTTAGTGGAGATGGCTTGGCATCAGGCTCCACTCCGGTCAAGCGCTATGAGACACTGCCCTGTGTGAAGAGCCTCCCTTCGCTCAGCGGGCTCAGGCCTGCTTCACACCCCCCGCCTCACTCACCCCACTATTGGTGGGCAGACCTTCTACCACCCTGCCCCCCCACCCTCTGGAACTCCATCCCACAGTCCCTCCGCCACACCCCCTCCCTTGCCTCCTTCAAGACCCATCTCAAGACCCTCCTCTTTGAGCGTGCTTTCTATCTCCCTGCTTCCTCCCCTGCCCTACCCCCTCCCCGATCCCGAACCCCAGCTCGGGTTCGAAACCCTTGTCTGTCCAGCGCCTTGGAACGTCCTCCCGACTTGAAAGGCACTTTACAAATGTAATGTTGTTGTTGTTGTTGTTGTTATAAATGCAAGTTGTCGTTGTCGACAGAGGCCGGGACACTGCACTCATTTAAGACCTTGCTGTAATGGGAGGACAGTAGGCACAGATGACATCAAATCAGAGATTCGTCCAATCCAACCTTCCTTATGATCTTGTATTGACTGAAAATACTTGTTCCTTCTCTCCTCCTTTGGATGAGATGTTAAACCAAGGTCCGGTCTGTCTGTTCAGGTGGATGTTAAAGATCCCATGGTATTGGAAAAGAGAAGGGAGTTTCTCTCTCTCTCTCCCGGTGTTCTGGCCAACAATCCCTGAATAAAATCAGTCACTCACTCCATGGCTGTCTGTGGGACACTGCTGTGCGCAAACTGGCTGTGTGTCTCTCACAAAATACCCAGTAACTCCATTTCACAGTAAATCCTGTGAAGCACTTTGAGATACCTTGACGATGTGATAAGACGCTCTATCGAATGCAAAGATTATTATTGTCATTAATAATAATAACCCATTTCTTTCGATTTTCTTTCTTTGTTAAGTCAACTGCCTCGATCGTCATGTCCACACATGTCCGGACAGAGTGGCTCTAATCTGGGAACAGGATGAGCCTGGGACTCAGGTGAAGATTACGTACAGGTCAGTGTGAGGAGCAGAATGTGTGGATCTCGGGAGTACAGCCCCAATAATTCAACCGGTGCCAGAAAGTTGCAGGTCTTGAATCCCACCGTGTGGTGAAGCTAACAATAATAATACAATAATAATCCTTACATTTGATATGGCGCCTTATCACGTCATTGAGATGTCTCAAAGCGCTTCACAGATTATACTGTAAAGTGAATTGACTGTATATTTTGTGGACAAAATGCAGCAGCCAATTGCGCACAGCAGTGTCCCTTCCACAAACAGTCGAGGATTGAGTGACACAATTTTTTTTGAGGGATTATTATGAATGAGATCAAAACACACAGTCACTGCACTTTCCAGTATATCCTGTGAAGCGCTTTGAGACGTCCCAACGACATGATAAGGCCCTGTATCAAATGCGAGGATTATTATGAATACATGACTCATGTATGTTGTCGAGCTCAGTATCCAGATGACTCCCACCTGATGAACTGCCTTGTTGACTCAGGCAGCTGCTGGAAGTGACCTGCCGCTTGGCCAACACCCTGAAGAGGCGAGGGGTCCGCAGAGGAGACCGAGTGACCCTCTACCTGCCCGCCTCGCCCATCGCAGTGGCCTCCATGCTGGCTTGTGCCCGTATCGGCGCCGTGCACACGGTCGTGTTTGCCGGCTTCAGCGCGGATGCTTTGGCAAACAGGATCCAGGACGGTGAGAGCTTTCTTGGGGGAAATTCTTTCTCTGTCTTTCCCATTGAGTTTTCCTATGGGAGGGCAGCTCCTGTACCAAGTCAGGTCACAAATGCTTGCACACACACAAACTCGCGTACCACACACACACACACACACACCACACACACACACACACGAGCATGCATGTACCTTAAGCAAGTTTCCTCACTCCACACCCCTCTGCTTACCTAGCAATAATAATAACAATAATCCTTGCATTTGATACATCTCCTTATCGCGCCCTTGAGACGTCTCAAAGCTTCACAGGATATTCTGTTAAATTAATTGACTGTATAGTTTTGGGTGTTCGAAATGCGGTAGTAAGTAGGAACCCGGTTGTTAGTCTATTAGTGGATATCTGCCAAATATTTGAATCCCTCAATAATCTCTCAAATATTTGAAAAGAGGAGAGAGTTTCTCTCTCTCCTGGTGTTCTCCCCCCAAAATTCGATCATTCAATCCACGACTGTTTGCGGGACGTTACTGTGCGCAATTAGCTCCCGCGTTTCACCCACAAAACACATAGTCAATCCACTTTGCGTTATATTCTGTGAAGCTCTTTGAGACGTCTCAACGATATAAGGCGCTGTATCAAATGCAAGTATTACTAATATATACACAAAGCAGCTGTGCAGGTGCAACACACAGAAACATGCTGAACTATCAGTCTTGTTGCCACTATCGGGAGATCAGGAGCAAACCCACAGAGACTCTGAGAAAGAAATCCTTCCCCTAACGTCCCCACTGGTCTGCTCTTTCCCCCTGTAGCGCAATCTGAGACTGTCATCACTGTCAACCAGGCCCTGAGGGGCGGGCGGGTCATCGAGCTGAAGAAGACAGTGGACGAAGCTGTCAAGTCCTGTCCCAGCATCAAGCAAGTCCTGGTGGCCACGAGGACGGAGAACAAGGTCCCCATGTCGGATATCGATGTTCCCCTGGAGGAGGTATGTGTATTCCCCAGATTGTAAGCAGTCGGTTCCTATCATTCCTGACCCACTATAACCCACTAGGATCTGAAGGATCTCAGGCCCAGTGAAACGGAGATGCAAATGGGGGCAAAGACAATAGACAGAGACAGATGCGTACACACAAACACACACACCTTCAATACAAAGACAACACACACACACGTTCAATACAATACACACACAATACAATACTAAAATACATACACACACAGATGTGCGCACACACTCAATACAATACAGACAGACGCACACAGATATGCACACATGCACTTACACACACACATTCAATACAAACAGACACACACGTACACAGACAGATACAGACACACACATTCAATACAATCCAGACAGACACACACACAGACACAAAGACACATACACATTCAATACAATACAGACAGATAGACAGACACACACACACACACAAATACACACAAACACACATATTCAATTCAATATAGACAGGAATTTAACCTGTCAAGCTTACCTGTCTGTCTTATTGATACTTTTGTACTTTAAGGCTGATGCCAGCTCATTCCCGTTCTCTGTTGCTGCTCTAAACAGAGCTGCCTTGAACATCCAACCTCCAATTCATTGAGTTGGTTGAAGAGGAAGAATGTAAAAGAGTAAGAGCAGGCTAAAGGCAGAGAATTGGGATTGGAGGAGATAGCTCTGATTGATGAGCCAACAGTAGTTTAACCTCGATGGGCGAATCGAGCTGTCATTTCTGTGATGGAGCAGGTTTAAGTGAACTTCACAGTCGAGATCTCTGTCTGAACCACCCTCTCTTTTTGTGGAGTCCTGCAGCTCAGTGGTTAGAGCACTTGGTTCACAGGCAAGAGGACCCGGGTTCGATTCCCGGGCAGAGTGAAACCTTAGGCAAGTTTCCTTACTCCACACGCCTCTCTTTACCTCGCTGTAACTAGGAACCCGGGTGTTAGTTAATTGGCGGTTTCCTTTCTGGAGTAATAATCCTTCCAAAAAAAATAATAATTTGGTCACTTGATCCATGACTGTTTGTGGGACGCTGCTGTGCCCAATTGGCTGCTGCGTTTTGCCCACAAAGTATACAGTCAATTCACTTTACATTGTATTCTGAGAAGTGCTTTGAGACGTCTGAACGAAATGATAAGGCGCTATATCAAATGCATTATTATTATTATTATGATGACTGAGGGCACCAAGCAGATTCCGAAGGGATTCTTTCCCACTCTACGAAGAGCGATGGAGTTCAGAATGTGGCTGTGATTATTTGCTTGAAATGTGGAACCAATTGGGTTCTCATCAGGTATCTGCTGTGGACGGGAAGTGGGGCTGGATCGAGCCAGGTCAGGGAGGGAAGAGATTAATTGCCAACAACTGATTCCATCTGATGCTGGTACAAATGGCCAGGGATGTGGATGGCGTCAGTAAAGAGATATCACTGCACACCTGCCAGAAGACCTCTCACACTCTCCCCATCCCCTGACTGTCCACCTACATAAGAACATAAGAATGATGTTCGCTCAGCGAAAGAAGATCAAAGGTCCTTCTATATCGAGGTGCCATCTGCCTGTTTGGTTGGACATTGTAGATCCCATGGCACTATTTTGAGAAGAGAAGAGAGTTTCCCTCTCCCAGTGTCTTGGCCAAGAATCTCCCAAATAAAATTGGTTGCCCACTGCATGGCTGTTTGGGGGACATTGCTGTTTGCAATCTGGCTGCCACATTTCTCCCCACAAAATACATAGTCACTCCACCTTACCGTATATCCTGTGAAGCGCTTTGAGATGTTTCGACGAAGTGATGAGGCACGATATCAAATGCAAGGATTATGATGAGTAGTAAATGGTTTATTTTCCAGGAAATGATGAGAGAGGAAGCGGTGTGCGAGCCCGTTGCTATGGAGAGTGAGGACCTGCTGTTCCTGCTGTACACCTCAGGAAGCACCGGGAAGCCAAAGGGGTTGGTGCACACTCAGGCTGGCTACCTGCTGTACGCGGCACTCACACACAGGGTAAGTAGCGGAACTGCGCATGACAGGACTTACTCTGAACAAACGAATCTCCCCGAAAACACCTGGCTCGCCCCACCTTGCTCCCTCCCTCCCTTGCCTCCTTCCCTTCTCTTTGACCGCGCCTTCAGTCAACCTCCTACCCTGCCCTTCCTGATCCCAGATCAGGTCCAAATCCCTGACGGTCCAGCACATTGGGACGTCCTCCTGACATGAAAGGCGCTATACAAATGTAATTTGTTGTTGTTGTTGTTGAAACTAACGCTGTACACAATCAATAACTCCTATGAAGCGCTTTGAGATGTCCTCCTGACGTGAAAGGCGCTTATCAATTAAGAATTACTATTATAATAAGGTGAAGGGGACCGGGGCAAAAATTTAATTTGCAATATAATATAAGTCACTCAAGTGCAATTCTAAGACACATCCTGACTTTTGGAGGTGAAAGAAAACATGCATAAGATTTGAGTAAATGTGGTTTATTCCCTAAATATTTTTAACCTGAGATTATAATCACGAATTTCAATGTAAATGTATACCTTTGGATATAAGAACTAAAGAATTTGCTGGATGAAAGAAGATCAAGGCCCATCCAATTTGCCTTCCAGTATGTTGGCACATGTCATGTCCCAAACTTTATACTGTATTCGATAAGAACATAATTTATATCTATTGTATTTATATATATAAATGTACATAATAATATAAAGGTTAACAAAAACAGGTACTTGATTAATCAAGTCCCATAGATTCCATGTCATCTTAACCCATTTTATCTTGAAAGGTAAGACTGAGTACAATTTGTGGAAATTGGGGCTTAATTTGGATTTTTGTTTAAATAAGTTCAGAAAAGCGCGAATTTAATAGTTTCTCAAAGGTGGCCAAAAGCGCGGTTGTTAAGTCGGGTTTACTTAAGGCTTTGGTAAATGTTGCCAGTATTGGTAAATATTAACAAAGTTGGTTAATGCTCACAGTTATCGAAAGGAGAGAAACTGGTGCTGTTTACACTAGAACACAGATCAATGGGAANTTTTTTTATACAGAGTTGTGGCAGCACTCTGTATGTCTCTGAGTCAGAAGGTTGTGAGCTCACGCCCCACGTGTGGCCAGCGGAGTGGGACTAAACGGAGAGCGAATGGGCCAAATGGCTTCCTTCCATGCTGCAAAACAACTGGATAGAAACGCTGCGCTCCATTCAGATGGTTCAATGATCGCTTTCCCCTTAGCTGTGTGCTGTTCCCGCAAGTGGTTATGACCCACTGTAGGGAAGCTGGGCTGCCTGGGATGGCTGCCAGTCCTTCTACAAGGAGCCACTGGTGATTTTGAATTATTCCAGCAGATGTTTCGGTAACCCTCTCCATTCTGGCTGCCTCAGCGAGAGAAGGGTTCGTGCGTTGATTTACTGTGCCTGAGTGTGTACGAGTGTGTGTGTGTGTGTGTTGGAGTGTATGTGTCTGTGTTTGAGTGTGTGTGTGTGTGTGTGCGCGCGCGCGTGTGTATGTGGTGGGGATGGGGATTGGAGAGGAGTTAGATTTCAAATGATCCTTTTGAGGGTTTAAGGGATCTGAGTCAAAGTCAAGAAAGAAAGAATTTTTTTTTGTGTATAACTTTAAAATAAATAAATAAAGTCACTCAATCCACGACTGTTTGCGGGACACCGCTGTGCGCAGTTGGCTGCCGGGTTTCGCCCACAAAATACACAGTCACTACACTTTGAAACATATCCTTTGATAAGGCGCTATATCAAATGCAAGGATTAATATTATATTACAAAACAGCGCTTACTGGAGTGTCAGCCTGGACTATTTGAGCTCAAAATCCCTACCCGGATCCACAAGCTTCTGACCCAGAGGCAAGAGTGCTGCTAACTGAGCCGGGCAGACAAGTAACATAAGCTTACGAGCTAGAAATAAAACCATGATCAGATCCAAGGTGTTATATCACATGAAAAGGGAAACTCGGCATCATACCAAATAGATTAACTGACAGGAAGGGGGTCTGAAAGATGTTTGGTCAAATCAAATGTATTTTGCTCAGCATTCAGTTTGTTTTCTTTCTGGGCGCATAAATATCACAATTTCAATGAGCCAATTATTATTATTATTAGCAACGATAATAAATAATAATCCTTGCATTTGATATGGTGCCTTTCACGTCAGGAGGATATAGTGATCGCATGATTTACTGTAAAGTGGAGTCCCGGTTGTTAGTCGACTGGCAAATAACTTTCCGAAGTGAATAATCCCTCAAAAAGAAAGTTTAAAAAATGTGGTCACTGAATCCACAACTGTCTGTGGGACACTTCTGTGCGCAACTGATCAATTCACTTTACAATATATTTTGTGAAGCGCTTTCAGACATCTTAACCACGTGGTAAGGCCCTACATCAAATGTAAGAATCATTAATATTATTCTGAAAGTGTAGGTTTTTCGTAGGTGAATGACTTGGGGAGTTTTGAAAGGTACTAAAGGACCAATAATTGACAAGATTGAGCTGTCCTTGAATGGTTTAGGTCGTACCTTTCTCACCGTCTTCATTTTGTCTCGACGAATGGCTTCTCCTCCACCCCCCGCACTGTCTCATGTGGTGTCCCTCAGGGCTCTGTCCTCGGTCCCCTCCTCTTCACCCTCTATATGCTCCCCCTTGGTGACATCATCCGCAGACATGGAGTTAACTTCCACATGTATGCGGATGACACCCAACTCTACCTTTCCTCCTCTACTCTCAACTCCACGACCACCGATGTCCTGACAGCCTCCCTGTCCGACATCGAGTCCTGGACGAGAGACAACTTTCTTCAGCTCAATGTGCGAAAAACCGAGGCCCTCCTGATTGGCTCACGTCAGCGCCTCCGCACCTCAGGCGCTGACACCATCAGCATCCAAGGCTGCACTCTCCACCTCTCAAAGCCGTCAGGAACCTCGGGGTTCTGTTCGACCCTGAGCTGTCCTTTCTCCCTCACATCCGCACCACAACTGGCACCGCCTTCCATCACCTCCGGAACATCGCCAGACTACGGCATTACCTCACCCCTCACGCGGCTGAAACTCTGGTTCACGCCTTTGTCACCTCAAGGCTGGACTATGGGAACTCTCTCCTCGCCGGCCTTCCCGCCACCTCCCTCCACAAGCTGCAGGTCATTCAGAACTCTGCAGCTCGTGTACTGTCCCGCACCAGGCTTCGGGACCACATCACTCCCACCCTCACCCTCACCCTCACCCTTGCTCTCGCTCACCCCCACTGGCTCCCCATCCCCCAGAGGATTGATTTCAAGATCCTCATCCTCACCTACAAGGCCATTCACGGCCTTGCTCCCTCCTACCTCTCCAACCTACTATCCCCCTACCTACCCGCCCGTACCCTCCGTTCCTCTGGCTCCGGTCTGCTCCACGTCCCCCGCCCCAACCTCCTACCATCGGTGGTCGGGCCTTCAGCCTCTCAGCCCCGAGGCTCTGGAACTCCATCCCCCAGTGCCTTCGCCCCCCCCTTTCCTCCTTCAAGGCCGGTCTCAGACCTTTCTCTTTGACCGAGCCTTCAGCTCCCCTCTCGACTCTCTTCCCCCTCCTCGCTCCCTCCCTTCCCCCCCCTCACCCTGACCATTTCCCCCCTCCTCGCTCCCTCCCTTCCCTCCCCTCACCCTGACCATTTCCCCCCTGCTCGGGTCATGACCCAACTGTGCAGCGCCTTGGGACGTCCTCCTGACGTGAAAGGCGCTTTATAAATGGAATCTTGTTGTTGTTGTTGTTGTTTAACAAGAGCTGAGTAACCCAGTTATTAGGTTACTGGTGGAGGTGAGAAGTCACTGTGCTGGTCAGGGGTAAGTTGTATCTGACAGCTGCTCTGGGTGTTATTTTTAAGAGTTCGATCACTGTTTGAGCTGAAATGTTGATCTTCAGCTAATGGAATGCCACTGCCCGATTGTGAGGCAAAGCCACTCATAGCGAGGAGAAAGGTTTGGTCCTCACAGCTTCCCTCGATGTCCTGGGTTGTTTGCGTACCTGCACTGCAGTCCCTGTGTGTGTGTGTATGTGTGTCAGCCTGGCTCAGCGGTAGCACTCTTACCTCCGAGTCAGACGGTTGTGGGTTCAGGCCACAAGACTTGGAATCACATTGTCCAAGGTAACACTCCATTGCAGTGCTGGGGGAGGGTAATAATAATAATAATAATAATAATAATCCTTGCATTTGATATGGCACTTTTCACATCTCTGCCAAACACTGAGACAGATATGAGCCCATTCGCACCGCAATGATATTGAAACGAGTTAACTCTTTGCTCTCACTCCGTCGATTGCCCACTGTGGTGGGTTAAGTTCAGGGCTCAGGAATACTGGCTTTTCCAAGATAACATGATCAAAAGGAACTTTTCCACAGGGGTAAATACAAGGCATAAATGAAGGCACTTTCACTAATAACAACAACAACAAAATTACATTGATAGAGTCGTGAGGATGTCCGAAAGCGCTGAATCGTCAGGTGTTCGGGGCCCGAGCATGGGGGAGGGGTGGTGTAGGGGTGAGGGAAGGCAGAGAGGTGTGAGGGGGACCAAAGACACAATCGAAGAGAAGGGTCTTGAGACCGGCCTTGAAGGAGGCGAGGGAGGAAGAGCGCAGGCTTTCAGCACTAATTTGCACTGGTCCCAGTTAATATGTTTCTAAATTGCTGTGAAATCCTTCCACAAAACATGATGTGACGAGGCCCATATATCATTAGTTTTAAAATTCTCCAAAACTTGGCTCTTGCCAACCTGCGCCTAATATTTTCTGGAATTAGGTAAGTAATCCCTCCAGAGAGAGAGTGTGCATTGCATTCCAATAAATATCTCTGGGATTTCCATGTGGAGGTGGGATGTGTGGAAATCTCCGGTTGGTTTGGATGCTCTTAGACACCCGGCTGACCCCCAAAAATCTCAGGGAGAGTGTCATTCACAATTACTGCCATAGAGAGCACCACCTACATACATTGACCAATACTTTCGGCATTATTCATCATTGTCCACATAAGGAATGCTTTATTATTACTTTATTGCTTATTACATTATTACTTCCATAGAGTGTGCCGTTTCTCCTTAGTCTTTTCAAGACTGCCGTCCGTTAATAATAATCCTTTGATTTGATATAACGCCTCATCACATCTTTGAGAGGTCTCAAAGCTCTTCACAGAATATACTGTAAAGTGGAATAAAAAGAGAAGTCGCTGGGAACACGCAGCAGGTCAGGCAACATCCATGGAGAGAGGAAAGTGAGTTAATGTTTCATGTCGATGACCTTAGATGGTGCCTGACATGCTGCGTTCTCCCAGCAACTTCTCTTTTTATTTCAGATTTCCAGCATCTGCAGTATGTTGTTTTGCATATTGTAAAGTTGATTGACTGTGAGTTTTGTGGACGAATGTGTAGTTATTAAATCACCGAACTCTCTCTCTCCTACCCAAACAGTACGTGTTTGATTACCACGATGGTGACGTCTTTGGCTGTGTTGCAGACATTGGCTGGATTACTGGGCACAGTTACGTGGTGTATGGACCTCTCTGCAATGGAGGGACCACAGTGCTCTTTGAGAGCACACCTGTCTACCCCAATGCAGGTAACAAGAGCTTGGAGCTGTGTGAGGAGGCAAATAACAAGCCGTTCTCTTGGATTTTTTTCTTCCCAAGGAGAGAATTTGGGAAAATGATAATAATAATCCATGATTCGATACTGCGCCTGATCACGTCTTCGAGACGTCTCAAAGCTTCACAGAATATACTGCAAAGTGTAGTGACTGTATATTTTTCGGTCGAAACGTGGCACCCAATTGAGCGTACCTTAAGGTGGGGTGGTGGGGGGCGGTGGGGAGATAGTTGCTCACGACAATCCTCCGGATAAATTTCTCCTTCACTTCAGGGCTGTTTGCACAAATTGGCTGCAGTATTTATCAACAAATACGCAGTCACTGTACTTGACAGCTGTTATCTGTCAAGTGCTTTGACACGTTTCAACATCATAAGCTCGATATCCAATGCGAAGATAAGAGACAAATGGAGTTAAACTCGTTCAGGAGAGAATTGTGAGAGGGAAAATCGTGGCTGTGAGGAAACAAAACAGAACATATCTCTCTCTGCCTCTACTTGAAAACAAGCCCATTGTAAAACAGAGCAGAATTAAATGGGGGAATTAAACTACATAGATAGATACCTGCATTTGAGGTAGCCATCTCATTCCTGGAATAGATTCCAGCCTGTGCATTAAATGAAGTCTTCCCTCCTCTAACACTGCCAACATGAAGTTTTAAAGGCAACGTGGTCCTTAAATCAGCCCAAGAACCCAATGGTAGGCAATCAATTGATTCAGGGCGTAAATTAGCTCTCTCCACAGCAACCCACTCAACAGCTCTGTAGAAATAGCGCCGCCTGGTGACAACATCATAGATAATCCTTGCCAAAAAATCTCCAAATTGACCCTTGACTTCATGACTGTTTGTCGGTCCTGGCTGTGTACAAATTCACCCCCGTGGTGACTGCCTGAAATAGACAGCCACTGCGCTTGACGTCCATCATTTGTGAGGTGCTCTGAAATGTTTTGATGTTACAGGCGCCAGATTAAATTTAAGGAGTGATATGGTTCGATGGGAGTCCTGTAGCATATTGGTCAGAGCAACAACAACAACAACCACAGCAACAAGAAGTTACATTTGTACAGTTCTTTCCATGTCAGGAAGATGTCCCACGGCGCTGGACAGTCAGGGATCTGTACCCGAGATGGTGGTTGGAATCAGGAAGGGTGGAGGGCGGGGAGGGTAAGGGTAGTTGGATAGAGGACAGGGGTGGGGGCAATTTTGGGAAAAGCAACTCAGTGTCACCTACCTCACAAGCGAGAGGACCTAGCTTCGTTTCCTGGCAGGTTTCCTTACTCCACAAACCTCTGTTTACCTAGTGGTAAGTAGAAACCCGGTTGTTAGTCAATTGGCGGATCGCTTTTCCGAGGGTAATAATCCCTTCAAAAAAAAATTTTTTTTTTTTGGTCACTCAGTCCATGACAATTCACTTTACAGTATATCCTGCGATGTGCTTTGAGACTTCTCGAAGATGTGATAAGACGCTATATGAATTGCAAGTATTATTATTATTATCATTACTGTGTACGAATGAGATCGAATGTGTTTCTTGGTCCAATCCTCTGCTGGGATCTCTCATGATTTCTGTCCTGTGTTTAGGTCGCTACTGGGAGATGGTTGAAAGGTTAAAGATCAACCAGTTCTACGGGTCTCCCACTGCCATTCGCCTTCTGCTGAAATATGGGGACAAATGGGTCAAATGTCACGACCGATCCTCACTGAAAACACTGGGCTCAGGTCAGTATCTCCCACTGCACGTTCACAACAGTGGAGCTTATTGTATTTAGTTACTTAGCTAGTTTTGTCCACAAAATATACGGTCAATTCACTTTACAGTGTATTCTGTGAAGTGCTTTGAGATTCTCGACGACGTGATAAGGCGCTGTGTCAAATGCAAGGTTTATTATTATTATGCACGCCTAACGATGAAAGCCTAGGCAGCTTGCGAGGTGCAAGGGGGAGAGATCATGGTTTTAATACCCCTCTGTTGGGGAGGTCGGATGATAACCCTGACGGTGGTCTGGGGCGTGGGGGGGGGGGGGAAAGGTTATCCTTCCTGGCTTTAGGAGAGGCTCGAACTTTGTTTGTTCTCACTCTCTCACTCTGAGTCTGTCTGTTACAGTAAAGCCAACATAAGTGACATCAGTTGGGACCATATATTTAATATGACTTATGCAAACTTTGAGTTATGTCAAACTTGCGTAGAGTATAAACCCTTGAATGGGATGTGGGAGATGTATGACTTAGGCAATTGTATGATTAATTCAGATCAGACTTATGCGACTCTTGCTGTATATGTGAGAGAGAAGGGAATATAGAGGTAATGGAGGGGATATATGGAGAGGGGATTCATAGGGTTGAAATATAGTATAAACACAGGCATGGAATATACAGGTTGATCAGTAGGTTTCAGTGTTGCAACAGTCTATAAAAGTCAGTGCTGGTCTTCATCAAAACTCTCTGTCCTAATTCTATTTCCTAGCTCTTTCCCCCTGCTCTAGTTAAGCCAACCTCTCTACCTCAAACCCTCCGTTTTGTCCTCTCCTTGTCTATCTTCAGATCACACCTGAAGACCTTCCTCTTCGACTAGTCATCTCCCATCTTTCCCTGGCTTGGCGTAAAGCTCCAAGGGCACGAAAGGTGCTGTGTCAATGCAAGTTGTTGTTATAATCATATTTGCCTGCTCTACTGGTGCTCGCTTCTCCCAGTAAAGCTTTCTGCTGTAATCATATTCCTCCTACTCTTTCCCCATCGTGTCTGTGCTGTCCTGGTGCTCGCTGCCCCGCTGGAAATATCTGTTGTAATTCCATTCCCCTTAAGAGCAACACTCCATGTTACTGAGCCTCCAAACCACTGGTGAACTGCATATTCTCAGCACGGCTGGAAACGTACCTAATCTAGTGATGGGCTTCGAACAAAGTCAACATGTTTGTGATCTTTGATCTTTCAGTCGGAGAACCCCTGAACTCTGAGGCCTGGGAGTGGTATTATAAAGTGGTTGGGGACGGCAGATGCCCCGTGGTGGATACCTGGTGGCAGACAGGTAAGAGAGAGAGGGGATCTTGCAGGCTGGCAAGGTCCCAGGTTCATCTCGTGTGTGTGTGTGTTGACTTGGCTGAGCTCAGTCACTGATTGCACTGGGGGTATTGTAGATGAGAAGGCTCCTAGTCCCTTCTCAATGCTTGTTACGATCTGGAATGCACCGCCTGAAAGAGTGGTGGAAGCAGATTCAATAGGGAGAGATTCTGGGATGGAATTCTAGCGAGTGGGGGCAGAAAAAGCCCCTTTTATGTGAAGACAAGCAAATTGGATATTTACTTGAAAAGGAAACAAATTTGCAAATTTATGGGAAAGTGTGGGGGAGTGGGACTAGTTGGTAGCTCTTTCAAAGAGCTGGCACAGGCACGATGGGCCAAATGGCCTTCTTCTGTGTTGTAGAATTATATGATTCTGTGGGCTCTGTTGCTGAATGGAAGGATGGGTGGGGGGGAGGTGGTGGTGGTCACTCTTGAAGAACAACCACTTAGGTGGAATTGTACATCAGCGAGTGACATTGGCCTTAGATGAGAGGCCCCAGTGCTGCGGTAAAGGAAATAGGGAAACAACAACAGCAACAAAATTACATTTGTAAAGCGCCTTTCAAGTCGGGAGGACGTCCCAAGGCGCTGGACAGACAGAGTTACAGATCTGAGCTTGGGGGAGGGGGAGGGCGGGGGAGGAGAGGGAGTGAGCAGGCCAGTAGGGGCTTAGGAGGTCGCAGAGGTAGGGGGGAGCAAGACATAGAGGGCTTTGAAGGTGAGGACCAGGATCTTGAACTGTATCTTCTGTGTGATGCAAAGCCAGTGGAGTCGGGCGAGAATGGGGGTGATAGGGTCGCAGAGCCTATTGCGGGAGAGGACACGGGCTGCAGAGTTCTGGATGATCTGCAACCTGTGGAGGGAGGAGTTGAGGAGGCCGACAAGCAGAGAGTTTGGATCGTCAAACCTCAATGTAATGAAAGCGCGTATGAGGGAAAGCTCCACAGCAGTCATGCTGTGGCAAACAATGAAGGTGGCAACTCTCTTCCCATGCCACCCATGCCCTCTGCCCATGCCCACTGCGGGAGGAACAGCGTCACCCCCGCCCCCCCCGAGAGTGGTTAGATATATCATCATCTCCCCAGCTTTGCCTGAGTTGCCCACATCCTGAGACTGAGCAAAGGAAACCAAATTTATCATGCTCTTAGCTTGACCGCAAGACCATTTTGCCTCAAAACATTCTCTGGAAAAATTCTTTGGGAGCCGATTTTCCACTCTTCGTCCCCATTTCCAGCCTTTTCTGGGCTCACATTGAGTCTCCCACAAAATACAGTCACTCCACTTTACAGTATATCCTGTGATGCCCTTTGAAATATCTCAACCATGTGACAAGGCACTACATCAAATGCAAGAATTATTATTATTATTATCATAAGTCACCCATTGAAACTAAACAATGTGCCTTCTGTTTCAGAGACGGGCGGGGTATGCATTGCTCCACGCCCCGCAGAGAGTGGAGCAGAGATCATCCCGGCCATGGCTATGAGGCCATTCTTCGGCATAATGCCTGTCCTCATGGATGAGAAGGTAAGTGGGAGTCTTCATTCCTCTCCACTTCATTCCCTTCCAATTTTGGGGGGAAACTGTTCATTTGGGAGTCGACATTTCACATTTGCTGTCCTCTCTGAGCCCACCCACTGAAAACTAACATTGGGCCCCCAACACAACATTTCTCAGGGTATTAGCCTTCGGACCTTAAAATTGAATGTGGCGTGGGATTTGGGAAAATTCTTAATTTGAAGGCTATTTTTAAGAACCAGTTTCAATTCAATGAAGAATTTACCAATTCTAGGATCTTCATGATTCTTCATTGCTAAGAGGATGGTCTAAAGTGACTTGTGTGAAGACCATTTTGACACATTAAAAAAAAGGTCATTTTGACATGAATAAAAAGTTTTTTTTTCAGAACTGTGGTCACCTCATTGACTCTCTCTCTGTCCAAATCAGGGGAGGAGATCAGCACAGAACAACATGTCAGGGCCTCTCTGCATCGCTCAGCCATGGCCCGGAATGGCACGAACAATCTACAACGACCATGAGAGATTTGTGGACACATACTTCAGACCCTACCCCAGTACGTGGATTCAAGAACAAGAGAGCGTGAAGTCAAAATTCGGACTAGGGGAATAAAAGGAGAGGTTCTGAAGAAAATCTGTAGTTCTAAGTGACTAAGTGTCAATGTGGACACAAGGTTAAAGATGTGAGGTCCCAGCCAATCATTCTATGGTTGGCAACTTTAGGCTGTAGATGGATGCTGGTGCTTTTGGAGTCCTCCGGGGGGGGGGAAGAGTTGGGTCTCTTTAGAGTTGAAGTAGCTCCAAAGTGGCATGTTTGGCAATGGAATGTCGGAATTCAGCCAGCCCTCTGTGGTGGTCTCAGAAGTCCGGTTCCTGAGCCAGACAGGTCCGCCGTATTCCAGGGCACTGTCCAGCCAGCCTGGCTCATCGTCAGGACCTGGAAGGGCAGACCAGTCACTGGGGGGCAGGGAGTCATCCCATGCAACTCCTGTTAACCCTGCAAGCCAAAGCTGATGGGAGTCTATGGTTGAACAATGGGTTTCGACTTGCCATCAAGCAACAACTTGGACTTATTGTAAGCACCTTTCTCATAAGACAGTGTTTCAAAGTGATGGTGTGGCTCACCGAGGAAGGTAGGAACAAGGGGGAGTAAAAAGGAGCTGATCAGCACTTTTGGATGTCCTCCCAACATGAGAGGTGCTAAATCAATGTAATTTTTTGTTGTTGTTGACTCAATGTAGAGTCGAATAGGATGATTTTTTGGAAGGGTTTTGAAAACATGGTGAAGGTGCGAGGCAGAGGGATTTGGGGAAAGAGGTTCAGATAGTTGAGGATCAGACAAGACCACAAGGTCCCGGACTGACTTAGCAAGGTGTGCAACCATGGAAGGCGATGCTGTCAGCGCCTGAGGGGAGCCAATCAGGAGAACCTCAGTCTTGTTGACGTTCAACTGAACAAAGTTAGCTCTCATCCAGGACTTGATGTCCGACACACATTGTCAGGACAGCAGTGGTCCTGGAGTCAAAGGTGGCGACAGAGAGGTAGAGTTGGGCGTCATCCGCATACATATGGAAGTTGACCCCATATCTGTAGATGATGTCACCAAGAAAGGCACTGTATACATGTAATGTATTGTTGTTGGTGTTGAGGAGTAAGAGATATGGAGAAATTTGAAGGGCAGATTTCGGGACTCTGGATGTTTTAAAAGGGAATTGCATTTGGATAATTAACTTTTTATTACTGTCCTGAAATAAACTTTCCTTTGGGGTCTGTTCAGATCATTTTTTCACGGGAGACGGAGCATACAGAACCAAACAGGGATATTACCAGATCACTGGGCGCCTAGACGATGTCATTAACATCAGTGGGCACCGGCTTGGGACAGCAGAGATCGAGGACGCTGTGGTAAGAGAAGGCTGTTTGTCCATTGGTTATATTAGAACATAATAATAATCCTTGCATTTGATATAGTGCTTCATCACATCGTTGAGACATCTCCCAGCGCTTCACAGCATATATTGCAAAGTGAATTGACTATATTTTGTGGGCGAAACGCAGCAGACAATTGCGCACAGTAGGATCAAGTGACCAAATTATTATGAATTTTTATTAAGGATTACCCCTGGAAAGCAATCCACTAACAACTGAGTTCCTACTTACTGCTAGGCTTATGGAGTAAGGAAACTTCCATAAGGTTTTGCCCTGCCCGGGAATCGAACCTGGCGAGGCAAGTGCTCTAACCAATACCCTACAGGACTCCAGCATGGACAGGATGGGAAAAATGGGACAATGCTTTGAGAACTGGCTGCCACATTTGCCTGCAAACACGTAGTCACTACATGTGCTGGTAATTATCTGCTATGTGATAAGACGGTTTGACATTCTAGATGCTATATCACATGGAAGGATTACCATTCTTGTGAATTAAATTAATGACCCTGGTTTCAATTGAACTTTTAGAATCAGCACCAAGTTGTAGCTGAGTCTGCAGTGATTGGATGCGCCCATGAGGTAAAGGGAGAAGGTGAGAAGTCTGAATCTAGAGGAACCTTAGTAAGTTAGTCCAATTGTCTGTAACCCTAACTGTTGTCCAACAAAGAAAATTGAACCATTTCTGAGCCTCAAGTGAACAGAGTTGCTGGAGGTCCCTTTGCCACATGAGTTTCTGGGGACGTGGTAATCGATGCCAACACAAGTTTGAGGGACCAGCCTCATCTGAAAGAAAGAAAGTGCAGTGTTCTGCAATGGAGAGTCAACATGGGTGTGTGCTCAAGTCCCAACATGGGGCTTGTACTGTGACCCAGATATAAGTGCACTACCAACTGGGTCAGGCTATGAATGCCTTATAAAATACTTGTGCTAACTCCAGCTCATCACCGGAAGGCAATGGATATTTGAATTATTTGCCAAGTTAAGGTTAGTCTGTCTCTCTCCCCAGGATCCTATGTCTTTGTCGTGCTGAAGGATGGGACTGACATCTCGGAGGATGTTATTAGTGAGGAACTGAAGGAAATTGTGTCCCGGAAGATTGCCAAGTACGCAGCTCCCGATTATATCCAGGTAACGAGCAGACCTGGAGTAAAGCAGACCCTAGTTTCCATGGATTCAACGAGATTGCCATGACACTATTGGAAAAGAGAAAGGAGTTTTTCCTGGTGTCTTGGCCAACCATCCTCCATTCACTTCACAACTGTTGGTGTAATCTTGCTGGGCACAAAATCGGGTGTTGCATTTGCCTCTAGTCATTGTGCTTGATTCCAATTATCTGAAAGGGGTTTTGAGACATGTTCAACATTATACACTCTATATCACATGCAACGATTATTATTAGTGGTTGAAATGAAATATCTAGGTCTCTAATCCATGTCCCACTTTTAAGTAACACCCCCCCCCCCCCCCCCCACACACACACATACACATTCTTGATCCTGTTCCTACCGCTACCCAGATGTGGAGGAACCAGTCCTATTCCCTCCCCCCACCTATGCCCCTCTATTCCCTTCTCCCCCATGTACACATCAAATTTTCTGTTAAATACATTGGACCTATTTGCTTCAATCATAGCTTCGAATAGTGAGCTCCACATTCTCACCACTCTGTTTGAAGAAATTCCTCAAACTTCCTATTATAACAACAAATTACATTTGTATAGCGACTTTCACGTCAGGAGGATGTCTCAAGGTGCTCGACAGTCAGGATTTGGATCTGAGCTGGGGTTTGGGTTCAGAAGATGTGGAGACCAGGGAAGGTAGAGATAGGAAGGGTGATTGAATAAAAGGCACGGTCCAAGAGGTGGGTCTGAGATGGGCCTTGAAGGAGGCAAGGGAGGGAGCAATGCAAAGAGATTATGGGATGGAGTTCTGAAAGGTGGGGCAGCGAAGCTGAAAGCCTGACCTTCAATTTTTTTTAACAGTTGATATTAAATCAATTATTAACTGTTTTATATTTGTGCCCTGTACTTATGAACTCACCATGCAATGGAAACAGCCGGTTGGCTGAGGCAAAGAGCAGATCCTACGAGGGTGAAGGAGACAGATGATTGATTCTCTTCCTCATCTTCCAGGTTGTGAAGAGGCTCCCGAAGACTCGGTCCGGGAAGATAATGCGCCGCATCCTGAGGAGCATTGTTCAGAACAAGAGACACGAACTTGGGGACCTGACAACCCTGGACGACCACACTGCAGTGGAGGAAATAGTGGACGGGCACAAGAAAATACTGGAGGAGCCCAGAAAGTGACAGGATGGTAAACAGGCCACATTTTGAAACAGGACTGATTTTCATTCCCAAAACAATATTGAAGCGTGATTTTGATGTGAAATCAGTCCAAGTTCCCGTCAAAATTGCGAACCAGACTCAGACCGGAGCTCGAATGAGAACGGACATGTCTTCCCTCCTATGCTGCTGTTGGCTGCTGCGGGATGGTGGGGAAGTCATCTCATGGTCTTGGAAGACTCCCAACACAGGAGGTTCTTTAAGGGTTTCACCAAATATTGGTGTGTTATGTGAACAATTCTCTTCAGGAAGAATGTGCAGGTGGAGGGAAATGAAATTGCTTTGGGTTTTTGGGTGTTCAGTCGGGAAACCCATCACCATGCTTAAGAGTCTCCAAACTAAATTAATGAGAGTTAGTTCCGCATAGCTGGTTATCCCGACATGCATACGAGTTCTTATATTGGTAATGCGCTTGTGTGTGAATCTATCCTTCGGACAAAACCAGTCCTCGTTGGGTTGTATATCCAGCTCCCACCTATAACTTTAAACTTAAACTGTGTTTTTCTCGTAATATACAAAATGTAAATTAATATCTATGAAAGTTTCTATTGGGTGCAAGTGATCCATGTCTCTCCCTGAACATCTGTAAACCGAGCAGGTTTGTTCCTTGCTGCAAATAAACAGTATTTTTTTTGAAGTTAGTATTTTCGTTAGGTTTGTGACTTTTTACTGTTCGAGATTCCATTGGAATATTTTCGTTCGGGAGTTAAGACACTCTTGGCGCCAGATTGTTACATTTAAGAGGATGAAACAAAACCACGCATTCACGCTACTTTCCCCCCACATCTGGAATGCAGTCCACACTCTCTCCTCAGTGACACACTCTGCTCCTCTCACACTGTAAAGTATTTGGATCGTGCCTTTCACGTCTTCCCAATGTGAAAGACGCTATTACAAAATATAATTTTGTATTGTGTTTCTATTAAGCATAGGTTGGCAAGATCAAAGACACCACACTGTGTGCGCGATGGAGTGCATTTCAACATGATGTGTACCAAGTTATTTCCAACTCACTAAGAATTCGAGCACATGCTCATTCAGCGAGTTGAGCTCGTTTCACCAGTTTATTAGCTCACAGCAGATCTTTTATAGCACTAATACCTCATCTTTTCCAATTAGCTCAGTCTGGTCAGAGCAGTGGACTGGTAATGTCTCACACCTCAGCCATGCCCTCCATCCAATAGAAATGAGATCAGTCAATAAAAATAACTATCTCTGGGAATTATCCCTTTCTTTTCATGATTGCATGTAGTCATTCTGAATCATTCACTTGAAGTCGAGGAAAATTATAGACCTCCTCCTGGCTCATCCTACAAGTTGTGAACATACACCAGGACTGAAAGCTGGGAGTGCTTTGCCTCCGAGCTGTGACATTTCTAGGCGTTACGGTGATGTCCTTGGTCCCAATGGGACTGCCGTACATTCCAGGGGTCCAGCAAGCTGGGAAAACGTGCGACCAGCTCCGACCTCCTTGACATTCTGCTTTGCCGGCCTGTCAACGGAGTTGACTCAGCTCCCAAGCACCAGCTCCCGAGAGCTTCAGCAAAGAGTCGTGGTACTGGAATGAGCAGACAGAAAAACATACACGCACACACACAAATGGAGAGACAGACAAAACACCCACACACACAGAAACGCACACAAACAAGGCCATTAGCAAACATCACAATGTGATAATGTTTCTGACAAAGGAAGTGAAAGATCTGCTGATCCTCTCTCGCTCTGTTTCCAAGTCCCTTCTAAAACATAACTCTTTGACTGTCTTTGGTCACCTCCCTTCAACCCCCACCCCTTTTCTCTACTCTGTAAAGTGCATTGCACCATTTTCCTGTGGCGATGTGAAGGGTACTATATACTGTAAGCTAAGTGGTTGTAGTTCCTACAAAATATAATGAAAAATTGGGTCACTCAATCCATAACTGTTTGTGGGACACTGCTGTGCGCAGTTGGCTGCCGGGTTTCGCCCACAAAATATAGTCAATTTACTTTACAGTATATTCTGTGAAGCACTTTGAGATATCTCAAAGATGTGATAAGGAGCGATATAAGGAGCTTCGCATGCGAGAGACCCGAGTTCAATTCCAGGTCAGGGCGAAACCTTGGGCAAGTTTCCTTACTCCACACAGAGCCTAATAATAATCCCTCCAAAAAACCAAAAACAATAATAAATTGGTCATTTTCAATTTACGACTGTTTGTGGGACATTGCTGTGCGCAATTGGCTGCTGCGTTCGCCCAAATATACAGTCAATTCACTTTACAGTGTGTTCTGTGAAGCGCTTTGGGTCGTCCTCCCGACGTGAAAAGCACTATATCAAATGCAAAGATTATTATTATTATATCAAATGCAAGGATTATTATTTGTTTGCTGCCCACCTTCTCCAAGCTGCTGCGATGCCCAACACTGACCACGGTCATCCCCAGCTGCTTACAGGCCCGGTAAAGCTCGCCCTCCACCTGCTCCGTCAACGCACTCGTCGCTTCATCCAATACTGGAGAGTCAGGGAGAGAGTGAGAGAGATATTTGGGGGGAGTCAGTTGGGTGTCTGATACGTGCGGAAACCCATCACCATGTTTAAGAGCACCCAAACCAAACTGAGAATTCCAGGGATCCCACCAACACATGGAAATCTCAGAGATAGATTGTTGGAATGGAATGCGCTCTCTCTCTACCTGGAGGGACGCATTCCTGCTTACCTAATTCCGGAAAGTATTAGGCGCAGGTTGGCAGCGACCATTGAGAGTGAGAGAAAGTCAGGGAAAAAGAGACACACACACATACACAGAGTGATCGAGCGAGCGCACTGACCTGCGTATTTGGGCTGGTGATAGTAAAGCCGAGCGAAGGACAACCGCTGCATTTCTCCTGGAGACAAAGCGTCGAACCTGATGGTGGGAGGAAGTAAAGGAGTTTGCACAACAGACCAACAGTACGGCGGGGCTCGTGTTTGGGATCCATAAAATGAGGTGGCCCGCTGCTACGTTGAGGCCCGATATTGGATTTGGCTGTGTCGAAGTCATGGCTGGCCCATTCGCTCCCTGCTCACAGGCTAATTGTTGAACAAAAAGAAAGAATGGCCGGCTTTCAGGCCATCGGGGTCACTGCTCTTCGATCGCAGCTTCGGCCACCCTCCTACCCAAACCCTCCCTGATCCCAAACCCACTGCTTGGGTCCAAATCCCTGACCGGCCAGCAACAACAAGTTACAACGTATTGCGCCTTTCACGTCAAGAGGACGTCACAGCACCCTGGGAAGTCCTCCCGACGTGAAAGGTGCTATACACACGTAATTTTGTGTTGTGTTCTTTCTGCTGACCCAGAAATCAACTGATTGATTGATTTTTGCTACTGGGTCAGAAGGTTGTGGAGTTCAGACCACCAGCTTCCCAACACACTGCCAGCTGCATTTCCTGCTTGAAAGCCACGAAATTACCAGCACATCTACGATTGATCTCACCAGTTCCACTCCATCTGTTTGTCAAGCCCTCCCGTCCTCTTCAACAGCGACATCTAAAGACAGGAAAAGATGGTGAGGCTTTTTTCTAAAAATCTCTCAAAGGTAGGTGGACCTTCTGCTGCAAATTGCACTCCGATTAGACTTGGGCAACAGCACGAAGGGTGTTTGGGCAACAAGCAGTCACACACTTTAAATAATGGCGTCAGCATGTGCATAGTTTAGTTGTAAAGTTTCTGGTATTTTATTAAATATAGGGTTATTTTCCAGGTTTGTGCGGTATTATCTCTCTCTCTATATATACAAGATGCCAGTGTGTAACGCACTCCCCCGTTAGATGCCAGTCTGTAACACACTCTTGTGTTAGATGCCAGTGTATAATGAACACACGCCCCTCCACAAGATGAGTGTGTAAAAGCACTGCCCCGTTAAGATGCCTGTATATTGGGTAACCAAGACGGAAATGACTCACCAGGCCTGTGAGTTCCAAGAAACGAATGATTCTCTCGTCGGCTGAATCTATGGAAAAAGACATCAACCCAGGTCAACAGCCACGATGACGACAGGCCATTATATAGCACCTTTCATGTGAGTAGCGTCTCGGATCGATTAACAGTGGTGCGGCTGGACACCGAGCTGGTAAGAGCTGGCCAAAGGCACGGTCGAAGAGGGAAGTCTTTAGGTGTGACTTGAAGAGGGGGAAAAAGGGGGCAAAATGGGTGGGATTGAGGCAGGGAGTTCCTGAGATTGTTGTCGGTCACAGAAAGAAAGATAGAGAGTGCACTTGGCATCAAGTTCGATAAATTTCAGAGACTGGGCTGATAACTGGCAAACCTCTAGGTGTTTAGCCGAGGAAACAGGCTGTTCTGCACTGGAAGCTGGATATTTACAGTGCTCAGTAACAGTGGGTCCACAGGACACCCACATTAAAGCAAAGCTGTGCTCTAGTGACTCACTTACTAACAGGCTGTCCTGCACACTGAAGTACTGAGCACACAGAACAATACCTGAGGCTGGGTAGATCTCTTTCAAGGGGTAAATCACCTGCAGAAATACAAACACAAAGCTATGTAAATACACAACAACAACATTTGTATAGCGCCTTTCACGTCGGGAGGACGTCCCAAGGCGCTGGACAGTCGAGGATTTGGACCCGAGCTTGGGTTTGGGATCAGGAAGGGTGGAGGGAGGGAGGGAAGGAGTTCCAAATGGTAGGGCAGGAAGGCTGAAGACCCGAGAGGAATTACAATGTACCCTTCATATTAGAAAGACGTCTCAAAGCTCGACTGCGAACCTCCTTCTCCAGCTCATACTATCATCTGATGGTCGCTGGTCTCAGTGGCAGTGTGATCCTGCTGCGCATTCTCTCTCTCTGCCCCGCCAACCCCACCCCCCCCCCCGAGACTCTCTGGCTGCTTCTTCCTTCATTTTTCTTAGAACTCGGTTTGTTAGTTGATTGGCAGATCGCTTTCCGGGGGTTATAATCCCTCCAAAAAATAAATAAATTTGGTCACTCAATCCCTGACTGTTTGCGGGACGCTGCTGTGCGCAATTGGCTGCCGTGTCTCACCTACAAAATACACAGTCACTCCACTTTACAATATATTCTACGAAGGGCTTTGAGACGTCTCAACAACCTGTTGAGCGCTACATCAAATGCAAGTATTATTATTATTATTAATTCCCTCCATGCTTGGGCTCTCTCTCACTCACTCTCACGCACACAAGATCCAAGCGCTTACCTGCTCCCGCAGGGTCCCATCTGTGAAGAACGGCTTCTGGGGAATGAAGAGAATCCCATGGGGCCCGAAGCAGGTCAACCTCCGCACGGAGCCTGGAAACACACCGGGCGGGCGGTTACAGTGAGTGTCATTCCCACCAACTCATGCCTCGTCGCACATTTCAGGACCTGAGCCCAACCCATCCTGGCTGACAGACACTTATTGGGAAAGAGAAGGGAGTTTCTCCTGGTGTGTCCTTGCCGGCCCGGCAGTGTCTCTCTTACCCTCCGCGGCTTCCCACAGTCCGTTCAGGATCCGTAACAGGGACGTCTTCCCGGTGCCTGTGTTGCCTGTAATCAGCAGGCTGTTGCCCTCTGTGATCTGCAGCGTCAGGTTCTGCACCAGGAGCTGGTCTGAAGAGGGCGAGGTGAAGGAGACTCGCTCCAGAATCCAGGCCTTCCCACTGGACTGCCCCTCGCCTAAATCCAGGCTACTGTACACAGAGCACACTGTATTACCCTTCCCACCAGCAGGCTGGAGTCTGCCCCTGGCTAGTCTGCGTATGTGTATGCGTGGTTGCGGTGTGTGAGAGTGTGTGAGAGAGAGAGAGAGAGAGAGAGAGAGCGCGTGGATGTGAGCACGAGAAGGGGTGAAAATGAGTGAAGGAGAAAAGAGAAAAACAGGATAGACTGAATGGGTAACAGAAGAGTGGAAAGGCAAAAGAAACGAGAGAGAGAGAGAGTATACAGTAAACCTCACATAAGTCGTATCAGTTAACATTACTTATGCTAAGTATGAGTTATGTCAAACTTGCAGAGGACTTGGGCAGTGTATGACTTAAGATGATCATTAATTTATACAGATCAGACTTACGTGACTTTTACTGTATAATTAAATATATATTGCAAGTCCAGAAGGAGCGCGGGGGATGAGCAAGAGTAGAGAGAATAAAGAGAACACGAATGAGGTAAGAGTAAGAGAGAATTCCCTCTGTGTACACACACACACACACACACGTATGGAATGCGCAATCCAATTGCATTCACACATGGATTACATGTTAGTGCCCAATAAAGCCCAAAGATCGGAAGCTAATTTTTTGATTTTTTTAAAAAATGGTCTCGGATGGAGACTAGCACGAAAAGGGGGGAGGCAAGCAGGGGTGGGTGGGTGGGTGGGGAAGAGAGTAAAGAAGGAAAATAACACAGGAGCAATAAGTCTCTGGTGAGGTCAGTGGTGACACTGATGTCAGAGAGGATGGGTTTAATGGCTAGCTTAAACACAGCCACGCTTTCCCCGCACAACTTACTCTTCAAACTCCCACAAATCCTCGCTGACACAAAGACCCTCTTTCCCTTGGGATTTGGAAATCTCTAGGCAGGCTTCCTGCAGCTCCCCGATCCTGCAACCAGTGGACAGAGAGAAGGCAAGTCCAGGAGGTGCCAATGCAGACAGCACCAAGTACATCTACTGACCAGCACTGCGAGCCCCCACTCCACTCACTGAACATATCATAATCTCTAAAGGTACTTGAGCTAAAAGTGGACAGAATCCAGTCCAAACACTAACATACCCTCCCCCACTCCTGTCTACAGCCATCTTAAGACAACAATAAATTACACTTGTATAAGGCCCTTGGAAAGACGTCCCAGAGTGCTGGACAATCAGCGGTTTTGTACTCGACCTGGGGGTTGGGGTCAGAGGGGATACAGGGCAGGGGGTTGGGGGTATGAGGGTAGCTGAAGGCACGATCAAAGAGGAAGGTCTTCAGACGGGACTTGAAGGAGGCAAGAGAAGGGGGTGAGGCGGCGGGTTTGCAGGATAGCGTTCCAGAGGGGCAGAAATGCTGAATGTCCGACCGCCAATACTGGGGCATGAAGTGTGGGGGACCTGAAGCAGAGGGAGCGGACAAGCTGATATGGGATTCTTATGAGGTCAGAGGTAGGGGGGAGCAAGACCATGGCAGCCTTGAAGGCCTTGAGCAAGACTGCGGAGACCACCTGATTTCTGTGTTGTCCCTCTCTCCCTGCCCCGTCCAACCTTTTAATGACCCTTCACCTGTGCGTGTAGCCGGCCAGGTCAGACACGGACGTCGAGAGATCGATCAATTGGCTGAAGCAGCTGATCAGGTAGATGGACACAAAGGCATTCTGGAAAAGAGAAGTGGGGGGGGGGGAATGAGCAAAGGTTACACATAGCACATATCCTCCTCCCCATGTTCACTAATGCTGCTCCTGTACCACACGCGGCATCCCTGACTACAAGAACGATAGCCTATCTAAGGCGCCTCCCTCCATATGAAAGATCCCATTAAGTGTTCTAGTCCTTTGTCAACTTTTATTGCAGCAACACCTAGTGGAAGTCGGCTCAAAATACACCCCTTCATTCCAGTGACGGGTTCGAAATATGAAGGTTAGACTCCACTGTAATAAACTTATATTTAATTGTAGGTGTTCACTTACAAATCACAGTCAATTCACTTTACAATATATCCTGTGAAGCGCTTTGAGACGTCTCAATACAGTAATAAGGTGCTATATCAAATGCAAGGATTAGTATTGGTATTATTACCTGAATACTGAATGTTATTTCAGAAATTCGAAACAAAACTCTTTGAATATAAATTACAATGCAAATGTACACTTATGTTACGCCTTTCAGCAAGAAACAGTTTGAGCTTGGCATCCGGGCTGGGGTCTTAAAGAGGCAAAGAGGCGATCTGAAGCCTGAGGCATTCCACTCCCTCCCCAGGGCTGGTGCTCACCTTGCTGACAAGCGCGATGAGCTCTGCGGGGTGCAGCCCATCGTACACCCCACTGAAGATAGGCACAGCGATCACTACGTAGCTGAGGATGCTGCCCAGGTAATCGAACGTGTTCACCCCCACTGAAAGGACAAGCACAAGGTCCAAACAACATAAACCAGGGCGAACCATTAGTCAAGTTTCCTTACTCCACACGCCTCTGTTTACCTAGCAGTAAGCAGGAACCTGATTCTTTGTCAACTGATGGATCACTTTTCCGGGGGTAATAAGCCTTTCAAAAAAATAATAATAATTTGGTCACTTAATCCATGACTATTTGTGGGACACTGCTGTGCCAATTGGCTGCAGTGTTTCGCCCACAAAATATACAGTCAATTACCTTTACAGTATATTCTGTTAAGCGCTTTGAGATGTTTAGAAGACGTGATAAGGCGCTATATCAAATGCAAGGATTATTATTATATTATCCTCCTACACTGCTCTATCCCTCCCTCCATCGCTTTATCAAATCTCCGTCCAATCCCAGTCTGAATTTGTCCGTCGTTCATTTCAGGCCTTGTCTCAGATTTAAAGACTTTCAGTGAGTTTTAAAGAAAATTGCATTGTTCCTTTCTCTTCCTCCCACCACCATCCCCCCAGAAAAATTCTGCCCAATATCGTACAGTAGCGGTTAGTCAACTCTCCTCGCAAGCAAGAGAATGTGGGTTTGATTCCCAAATGGGGCAAAACCTTAGAAAGTTTCCTGCGTTCACCTGCCTCTGTTTACCCAGTAGTACCCGGTTGTTAGTCGATTAGCTTTACAGGGGTAATAATCCCTTCAAAAAACAAAAATAATAATGTGGTCACTGAATCACCGTCTGTTTGTGGGACACTGCTGTGCTCAATTGGCCACTGCATTTCGCTCACAAACTAGTCAATCCACTTAACAGTATATTCTGTGAAGCACTTTGAGACGTCCCAATGACGTAATAAGGCATTTTATCAAATGCAAGGATTATCCTCATTATTATTGAAGCCTGATACCCCCATATCGACTCACCCCTTTCCCTGCCCCCCCCCCCACTTCTGTCGCTCAGCCCCACACAGACTCACGGTGAAGCCACAGCTCCCTCTGCATCAGCAACCTCTGTGTCCGCAGCAGTTCCTGGAGTCTCTTGCCTGTCCTCACCTGCTCCACGCTCCCCGCTCTGCGCACCCAAGAGAAACAGAGGCATCCTGCTCTGAATCGTTACATCAAAATACATCACCCCCGAGCACTAATGGCAAAAAACTGGTACAATTTAATTCATATGTCCTACTGACCAATATATTTTCCCTGATTCTCGCAGAAAATGGCCGTGTGCTCACCTGTAAAAGGCCGCAGACTCTGCGCCTACTCGGATCTGCATGTGCTTGAACCTGAGTGGGAGAGGGATAAAGGTTAAAATACCTTGAAGTTTCCTCTCGGCTGAAGCCCCGTCCATCCACCTGTGGGGGTGCGGGGAAGAACAAAGAGGAGTTGAGGTAGGCAGCTCAGCGAAGAGGACAAGAGATTGAAAGCAGAACTGACCTGAAGTCTCCCTCCAGCTTCTCCTGCTCCACCAGGGTGGCCACGATGGGTCCTATCAGGATCTTGTTGACGGTGGATCCAATCACAAAGTAAATGAAGATGCTGACGGGCCCCATCCAGCCAGTGCTGTGTAAAGGAGGAAGAGAGCCTTTTGTTAGATCACAGATCACGAGAGGCACATTGAGATTCACTACACTCAGAGGGTAGTGAATTTATCGAATTTACTACCCCAGAAGGCTGTAAATGCTTCCCAGCACGAAAAACTTTCATCTGTGGTCCTTTACAACATCAAAACGTCTGTAAGCGCTTTTTTATAATAACAATCCTTGCATTTGATATAGCACCTTATCACTTTGTAGAGAGGTCTCAAAGGGCTTCACAGAATATATTGTGAAGTGGATTGACTATGTATTTTGTGGGTGAAACGCGGCAGCCAATAGCGCAAAACAGTCATAGATCGAGTGAACAAGTTATTAGATTTTTGGGGAGGAATTATTACCCCCGGAAAGCGATCTGCCAATTGACTGAAGCTACGTTCCAACTTACTGCTAGGTAAAGAAAGGTGTGTGGAGTAAGGAAAATTTGGGTAAGGTTACAGCCCACCTGGGAATCGAACCCGCGTCCTCTTGTTAGCGAGGCGAGTGCTCTAACCACTACCCCACGGGACTCCATAACATATTCTGTAGCGGACTCTGTTTATTGCGAGCGTGGTGACTGACACCCTTCTCTCCCCATCCCAGATGTTACCTGTGAAAGCACTGGTAGGTGTAGTAGCCCAGTGTAAATGGAGAAATTATGCATTTACTGGCCACGGTGCTCAGCGCCTGGCAGAACCGCTCTACGTCCTGGCTAATCCGCTGGTCCCTGAAACACACACCGAGAGGTGAGAACACTCATGACCACAAACAACATACCTCCCCTGCTGACATGTACCTTCCCCACCACACCCCCCCCCCGCCACCACCCGGCTGACAACACACATGCCCACAAACAGGCTGTTAAAAACATGTGCGCACCTTCTCCCTCCCCTCCCACCAGCTCGCTAGATATTTGTTAGGTCAGGGTATTGAGGGATACAGGGCAAGGGCGGGTAATTGTACTTGAGGTACAGATCAGCCATGATCTTATAAAATCGTGGAACAGGCTCAAGGGGCTGAATAGCCTCCTCCTGTTTCTATGCTAACAACATGCGAGTCCCCTTACCGCCTGCTAACAACACACACCCTGATCATTGCCCACTGTCACTCGATCCCTTTCATCTGTGCGAGTTGTTTGAGAGGGAAATCAATCCACACGTCAAAAACTCATATCAAACAGAATGCAGACGGCCTCAGCGAGTGTATCAGAGAAGGGCCTGGGGACAGTGGCACCTACGGGTTGTCCAGGTCCTCTCGCAGCACGTTCAGCACGTAGTAGACCTTCCTCTGGAAGTAGTTCCTGTGCAGGTACGTGGTCAGGCTCTGCCTCCAGTGCACGTACATCAGACTCGAAATAAACTGGTCAAAACTCTTTAGCTGAAAATGAAAAATAATAATAAATAATAATAATTCTTGCATTTAATATAGCCCCTTATCATGTCTTTGAGACGTTTCAAAGCGCTTCGCAGAATATACTATGAAGTGAATTGAAACGCAGCAGCCAATTGCACAGAGCAGCGTCCCACAAACAGTCGTGGAATTGAGTGACTAATTTTTTTTGTTGAAGGAATTATTACCCCGGAAAAGTGATCTGTCAATCGACTAACAACTGGGTTTCTACTTACTGCTCGGTAAACAGGCGTGTGGTGTAAATAGTCCCCATTTGTAATAACTGGAGCGAAGACCGAGTGTTCCTGATCCCTCCCTTGTGTTTGGCCAGAGCCACCTGCCTATCCTGAATTCAACCAGGTCGCCTAGCATTGAGGTTCACCTCGCAAGAACTGTTCACGTCAGGATGGACCGAGGAGTTGCATTTGATATGGCACCTGATCTCATTGTTGAGACGTCTCAATGCGCTTCACAGAATATACAGTAGGGTGGAATGACTGAGGATTTTGTAGGTGAAACATGGCTATAATAATAATAATAAGCATTCCAGGTGGGTTCGTATTCTGTCTTCCCCCCAACCCTCATCTCCCAGCACGTTTCTGGATATTGATCAGCTGCAAGGCGATAGGCTCATTTTCTCCATCTCTAACCCTGGGCTAATGGACGGCAATGGCAGACCTGGCGGAGACCAGCTCTCTCAGGCAGCCCCCGGCAGGATGCTTACCTGCCAGCTGAAGGTTTGGCAGTTCATTGAGCATGAACCTTCAGATGTTCCACACCTCCTTGTCCCAACAGAATGCAGCGCTAAAGTGCTGTACATCTAGTGATTGAGGCTGCGGGAGGTAAGACAAGACTCCACTTACCACTGAATTGAGCACTATGAGGTGATGGCGATGAGGGTGAGGTTTCTAAAGCTGGTTAGATCTTTGTTTCCCAGAACTTCATAGAAATGACTGGGGATGATCCCCACCTGATAAACCACCAGCTGTTCTGTAACAGGACCAACAATACATTAGACTAGATCAACCTCAATCTGGTTATTGTAACACATAGGACCACAGAAGTGCTCTTAAAAGAACTGCCACAAACACGCTGGGCTGAATGACCTTCTTCTGTAATAATAACCATCCTTGCATTCGATATAGTGTCTTATCCCGTCTTCAAGACGTCTGAAAGTGCTTCACAGAATAATAATAATCCTTGCATTTGATATAGCACCTTACCACATCTTCGCAATGTTTAAAAGAACTCCACAGAATATACTGCAAAGTGAATTGACTATATATTTTGTGGGCAAAATGCGGCAGCCAATTTCACACAGCGGGTGTCCCACAAACAGTTGTGGTTTGACTGACTGATTTATTATGATTATTTTTTGAATAAATTATTATCCCCGGAAAAGCAATCCCCCAGTTGACTAACAACCTGGTTCCTACTTACTGCTAGGTAAACAGAGGCGTGCGGAGCAAGAAAACTTGCCTAAGATTTCGCCCCGACTGGTAATCGAACCTGGGTTCCTCTTGCTTGTAAGGCGAGCAAGCTAACCAATAGGCTGCAGGACTCCACAATGTACTATAAACTCTTGATTCTCTGAGTAAATGAATGGGAAAACAGGGTTCCAATCAGCTGGTGTTGGCATTCATTCCCTATCAACTGTGTGCTGTTCCCACAAAAGCCCTGGTTGTGCCCCAAAATTTTGCAGGACACCTGCTCTGTCCTATGCCAGATCCTGTTTATTCGCTTCCATCACCCATCTCCTTTGCCAGCTCCAAGCCATTAACCTGACAAATCAAAGTCCAGGAGGATGAATCCTGATAAGCTGATAACTAGGGTCAGGATTCTTTACTCAATCAGGTAATCTGTACACAACACCGCACTCTATTGCCATTATTCAACAAAAACAAACAGAGCGGGCAAGCTGACATGAGAACAACACCTGCCTGAGTCAGTAACTGACTGGAGAAACTGAACACTTAACAATAATCCATGCAATAATCCATAATCCATCCATAACACCTCCTCACGTCAAAACACCTCAAAACGCTTCCCAGGATTTTTCTATAAAGTGTAGTGAGTGCGTATTTTGTACGCTAACATGGCAGTAAATTAATTCTCGCAGAGCAATGTCCCACAAATAGCCAGGAGGTGAATGACCAATTAACTGGAGGCCAGGATACCTTCTCTTTTTGATAAGAGTCACAAGATCTTTTAACAACAGCGTGAACAGACAGATGTGAGCAGGATTATATTGAAATACAGAAACAATCATCCCATTCCTGGATTTGTACACAATGGAGTGAAGGGGAGGGCAATTGGTCGAATGAGATTTCAGTTTGTACAGAGTGCCCATAAAGTCCTGTTACCCCCCTTTCCCCCCACTGCCCCGTTACAAAACGGCAATATGAAACTACAGAGGAGCTGAAACAAGATGTCAGAGATGCATTTTGCCTCCTCACCCCATCCAAGTTACCGAAGATGTGGCACTAAACATGGAGACGGATCATTATCTGCCCTGAAAATTATGGCGCTCACTCACTCACACACACACCGACCGATCCTCTGTACGTCTAGCACCTCTCCAAAGCCTTGACATCCTTCCTAAAGTGTGGGGCGCAGAACTGAACACAGTCTCTCGCTGAGGCCTAACCAGTGTTTTATAAAGGTTCATCATAACTTCCTGACTTTTGTATTCTATGCCCCTATTTATAAAGTCCAGTATCCCGTATGCTTTTTTAACAGCTTTATTTACCTGTCCTGCCACCTTCAAAGATTTTCTTATATGAGCCCCAGATCTCTCTGTTCCTTCACCCCTTTAAGATTGTACCATCGGCTTATATCGCCTCTCCTCATTCTTCCTCCCAAAATACATCACTTTGCATTTCTCCACATTAAACTTCATCTGCCACGTGTTTGCCCATTTTACCAGTCTCCATGTCCATTTGCAGACTGCTACTATCCTCCTCACTGTTTACTACTTTTCCTAGCTCAGTATCATCTGCAAACTTGGAAATTGTATTCCCTATATCCAAGTCCAGGTCATTTATATCAAATATACAGCTCTAATAATAATAATAACCCTTGCATTTGATATAGTCCCTTATCATGTCTTCAAGACATTTCAAAGCGCTTCACAGAATTTAATGTAAAGTGAATTGACAGAAATATACCCAGCACACAGCACGGACTCACCAAGGAGGGCGACAGCCAGCAGCGTGGCATACATCAGCACACTCTGCGACAGCCATGACGGGTAGAGAATAGCCTGGATCCGCCCAAATCGCTGCAAAAACAGTAGATCCAGCTTCGGCCTGGAAATCAGAATAGCACATCATGACGGACCAGCCATCTTTCTATCATGATGCCGTGTCTTTCTTTGGTGCCACACCTCTAGCCTGAAGCTCCAGCCCTGGCTGAGAGATGGGGGGGGGGGGGGGGAGATCGATCCCTGGGACTCCCACAATACCTATTTTCTAGTCTATGGCAACAGAGGACACAGAGATGGATAAAGGCAGAGTTTGTGGCTTGTATGAAAATACTGTAAAAAATTGACATCAGTCTGGGCCATAGCATTTAATACGACTTATGCGATTTGCATAAAATTTAAATCAATAATCTACACTGCACACACGTGATTCAGCGTGCTTGGATGGTAAACGTGTACAAGGTGATGGGTCATTTGATAAGAACTTGCCAGGTGAAAGAAGTCCGAGGTCCATCTCGTTTCCTTCCACCATCCTGGCTGTCGTGTCCTGTAACCCGAGATATTATTTTCTAGCAGAAATCTATGTAATCTATCGATAGAAACAACACTTTCTGCTTCCGCCATCTCCCCAGGGAACCTGTTCTGTAAGTTTACTACTCGCTCACTGAAGCAGTGTTTCCGCAGATTTGTTCTGAATTTACCCCCCTCCCCCCCCCCCCGCCTTCAGTTGCAGACCGTGTCCTCTGGTTCTACTGTTCAGTACAAAATAAAACAGCTTATTATAATCTACATTATCAAGTCCCTTCAGAATCTTAAAGCCTGTAATTTTATCACCTCGTAACCTTCCCTTCTCCAGAGTGAACAAGCCCAGTTTATCTATTTGCTCCTCCCCCCCCCAAATATAACCCCCCCAATATAACCCCCCCCAATATAGCCCCCCCCAATATAACCCCCCCCAAATAGCCCCCCAAAACACCTCCCCACCCCACACTCCAACCCCTCAATCAGTTTGTCCTCCTCTGTATCCTCTCAATCACTGCAATATCCTTTTTGTTGATGAAATTCTCCACCGCTGATTGTCGCCGGTAAGTGTGGGCGGGCACTGGAGGGCAGGGGAACGGCGTTACGAGTTAGGAGGTGATTAATACGACTTGTGCAACTTAGTAGCTGGGACGGGACGGGGGGGAGGGGCTGGCCCCGCACGTGACCAGACCACCCTGACCCAGGGAGACTCCTGCCGCCGGGTCGGGTCGGGTCGGCTGAGCTCTCGGCGCGGCGCGGCGCTGACCTGGGAGCCACCACCGGCCCTGACAGCCGCTTACAGCCCCCGCCGCTCCGCTCACCTGCTGCTGACCGGCTGCTTCCCCCTCAGCCCCGAGCGCCGAGCCATGGCAGCGGGACCTCGCGCTCCCCCGCCCGGCAGCCCCGCAGCCTCCCACCCCCCCTCCCTCCGTCCCCACCCACTCCGGGCCTGCGGCTGACGTCACGCGCACGGTCCTGGCACGTCGGTGACGCCAGAGGCCCGCGCTGATCACGTGACGGGGGGGTGTCGCTCTTTTAAAAGAAGGTCCGAATGCGTATTGATTCGCCCCCACGAACCCCCCCCCATACCCCCCAATACCCCCAATACCCCCCCATACCCCCCAATACCCCCCCCATACCCCCCAATACCCCCCCATACCCCCCAATACCCCCCATACCCCCCAATACCCCCCCATACCCCCCAATACCCCCCATACCCCCAATACCCCCCATACCCCCCAATACCCCCCCATACCCCATACCCCCCCCATACCCCCCAATACCCCCCCATACCCCCCAATACCCCCCCATACCCCCAATACCCCATACCCCCCAATACCCCCCCATACCCCCCAATACCCCCCCCATACCCCCAATACCCCCCAATACCCCCCAATACCCCCCAATACCCCCCCCATACCCCCCAATACCCCCCCATACCCCCCAATACCCCCATACCCCCAATACCCCCCATACCCCCCAATACCCCCCCCATACCCCCCGCCCATACCCCCAATACCCCCAAATACCCCCCGCCCATACTGCCCCAATACACCCCCCCAACCCCCCCCATACCCCCATACTGCCCCAATACCCCCGCCCCATACCCCCCAATACCCCCAAATACCCCCCGCCCATACTGCCCCAATACACCCCCCAACCCCCCCCATACCCCCCATACTGCCCCAATACCCCCCGCCCCATACCCCCCAATACCCCCCGCCCCATACCCCAATACCCCCCGCCCCATACTGCCCCAATACCCCCCATACCCCCCAATACCCCCGCCCCATACCCCCCAATACCCCCCGCCCCATACTGCCCCAATACCCCCCATACCCCCAATACCCCCCGCCCATACCCCCAATACCCCCGCCCCATACTGCCCCAATACCCCCCCCATACCCCCCAATACCCCCCCCATACCACCCAATACCCCCCCATACCCCCAATACCCCCGCCCCATACTGCCCCAATACCCCCCGCCCCATACCCCCAATACCCCCGCCCCATACCCCAATACACCCCCCATACCCCCAATACCCCCTCCCATACCCCCAATAACCCCCCCCATACCCCCCCATACCCCCAATACCCCCCGCCCCATACCCCCCAATACCCCGCCCCATACCCCCCAATACACCCCCCCATACCCCCCAATACCCCCTCCCATACCCCCCAATACCCCCCCCCATACCCCCAATACCCCCGCCCCATACTGCCCCAATACCCCCCGCCCCATACCCCCAATACACCCCCCTAACCCCCCCCAATACCCCTAATACCCCCCTCCCCATACTCCCCCAATACCCCCCCCCATACTGCCCCAATACCCCCGCCCCAATACACCCCCCAATACACCCCGCCCCATACTGCCCTATACCCCCGCCCCATACTGCCCCAATACCCCCCGCCCCAATACACCCCCCAATACACCCGCCCCATACTGCCCAATACACCCCGCCCCATACTGCCCCAATACCCCCCGCCCCATACTGCCCCAATACTTCCCGCCCCAATACACCCCCAATACCCCCGCCCCATACTGCCCCAATACACCCCGCCCCATACTGCCCCAATACCCCCCGCCCCATACTGCCCCAATACCCCCCGCGCCATACTGCCCCAATACCTCCCGCCCCATACTGCCCCAATACCCCCCGCCCCATACTGCCCCAATACCCCCCGCCCCATACCCCCAATACCCCCCGCCCCATACCCCCCAATACCCCCCGCCCCCATACCCCCCAATACCCCCCGCCCCATACCCCCAATACCCCCCGCCCCATACCCCAATACACCCCCCCATACCCCAATACCCCCTCCCATACCCCCCAATACCCCCCCATACCCCCCCCCATACCCCCCAATACCCCCCGCCCCATACCCCCCAATACCCCCGCCCCATACCCCCAATACACCCCCCCATACCCCCCAATACCCCCTCCCATACCCCCCAATACCCCCCCCCATACCCCCCAATACCCCCCGCCCCATACTGCCCCAATACCCCCCGCCCCATAACCCCCAATACCCCCCGCCCCATACCCCCCAATACACCCCCCTAACCCCCCCAATACCCCCTAATATCCCCCTCCCCATACTCCCCAATACCCCCCGCCCCATACTGCCCCAATACCCCCCGCCCCAATACACCCCCCAATACACCCCGCCCCATACTGCCCCAATACCCCCGCCCCATACTGCCCCAATACCCCCGCCCCAATACACCCCCCAATACCCCCCGCCCCATACTGCCCCAATACACCCCGCCCCATACTGCCCCAATACCCCCCGCCCATACTGCCCCAATACCTCCCGCCCCAATACCCCCCCCCCCATACCCCCCAATACCCCCGCCCCATACTGCCCCAATACACCCCGCCCCATACTGCCCCAATACCCCCCGCCCCATACTGCCCCAATACCCCCCGCGCCATACTGCCCCAATACCTCCCGCCCCATACTGCCCCAATACCCCCCGCCCCATACTGCCCCAATACCTCCCGCCCCATACTGCCCCAATACCCCCCGCCCCATACTGCCCCAATACCTCCCGCCCCATACTGCCCCAATACCCCCCGCCCATACTGCCCCAATACCTTCCCGCCCCATACTGCCCCAATACCCCCCGCCCATACTGCCCCAATACACCCCGCCCCATACCCCCAATACCCCCCGCCCCATACTGCCCCAATACACCCCCCAATACACCCCGCCCCATACTGCCCCAATACCCCCCGCCCCATACTGCCCCAATACCCCCCAATACACCCCCTAACCCCCCCCAATACCCCCTAATACCCCCCTCCCATACTCTCCCAATATCTCCCAAATACACCCCTAACCCCCCCAAATACCCCCAATCCCCCGCTCCATACTCCCCAAATACCCCCCAATACCTCCCAACCCCCACCCCTACTCCCAAATACCCCCCCAATACCTCCCAACCCCCCACCCCTACTCCCCAAATACCCCCCCAATACCTCCCAAATACACCCCCTAACCCCCTCCCAAATACCCCAAACTCCCCCGCCCCATACTCCCCAAATACCCCCCAATACCTCCCAACCCCCGCCCCATACTCCCCAAATACCCCCCAATACCTCCCAAATACACGCCCTAACCCCCCCAATACCCCCAACCCCCCGCCCCATACTCCCCAAATACCCCCCCAATACCTCCCAAATACACCCCCTAACCCCCTCCCAAATACCCCCAACAACAAAACATACAGTCACTTCACTTTACAGTACACTCCGGTGAAGCGCTGCGAGACGTCTCGAAGGTGCAACAATAACAATAACAATCCGTGCATTTGGTGCAGCGCCTTATCAGGTCTTCGAGACGCCCGCATCGAGCGAAAGGATAATCATACAACGCAATATATAATGACGCATTATATAATATGTATAATGTAATATATGACATGTGACAGTTGGTGTATATTCGTGACATAACATCTATTATTATTATTATTATTATTATTACAATGGTGTTATAGCCCTATAACAACGAACAAGTAATGTCATATAAAACCATAAGTGTGTGATCCATAACGATACAGAATGCAATGCAGGACTTAATACCATACAAAGTGATGATAACGTGTGGCAGATCGCGTCGGCGACGGGTTATCTTTTATATAAATTAAAAAAAGATATATAGATTTTCGAAAACAATAACTCTTACCGTTATTTCCGTGACGTGCCCTCGGGCCGCCGCCGGTGTTTTTTTATCTTCCTTTTCTTTTATTCCCCTTCCCCCCCCTCCCCCCACCCCCACGGGAATTTAACGACTCGTCGCCTTTATCGGCCGTTGGGAGACGGTTTGTTTTTCGAATATATTTTTTTGAACGGTTCCCGCGACCAAGATGGCGGCGGCGGCGGCGGGAGAGGCGGACAAAGAGCGGAAGTGACGCGTGACACCTGGCCGCGCCCACCCCCCCGTCCCACTCCGGCCCCACATCCGGCGGGTACACTAAAGATGGCCGCCGCTGCTTCGGCTCCTACGTGGACGACGACAGCAGCAACGACGACGTGATGTTTCCAGAGCGCCCCTTCACGTCGGGAGGACGTCCCAAAGCGGTGTCGGGGCCCGAGCATGGGGTGGGGTGGTGGTGGAGGGGGGTGAGGGAAGGCAGGGAGAGGTGGGAGGGAGACCAAAGGCGCGGTCGAAGAGAAGGGTCTTGAGACCGGCCTCGAAGGAGGCGAGGGAGGAGGCGAGAGGCCAAGGGACCGTGGGATGGACCTCCAGAGTGTGGGGGCAGAGAGGCTGAAAGCCCGGCCACCGATGGTAGGGCGGGTCGGGCGGGAGACACGCCCGGAGCCTGATGAGCGGAGGGAGCGGGCGGGTTGGTAGGGGGTCAGCAGGTCAGATGTAGGAGGGGGCGAGGCCATGGGTGGCCTTAAAACAACAACAAATTACATTTGTATAGCGCCTTTCAAGTCAGGAGGTCGCCCCAAAGGCGCCGGAACAGTCAGAGATTTGGACCCAAGCTGGTGGTTGGGGTCACAAGGGGTGGAGAGCAGGGAGGGTAGGGATAGGAGGGTGACTGAAGGCACCGTTGAAGAGGAGGGTCTTGAGACAAGGGAAGGGGTGAGACGGAGGGTCTGTAGGATGGAGTTCCAGAGGATGGGGGCAGAGAGGCTGAAGGTGTCTTGATACATGTGGAAACCCATCTCTGTGCTTAAGACTTTCCAAACCAGGCTAAAATTCCATGCATCCCACCGACACATGGAAATCACAGAGACAAATTGTTGGAATGGAATGCGCTCTCTCTCCCTGGAGGGAGGCATCCTGCTTACCTAATTCCGGAAAGTATGAGGCACAGGTTGGCAAGAGCCAAGGCTTGGGGACCCCAGAGCATGCGTTGGGGTAACTACTGGAGTCTAAAACCGTATAGCTTGCCATT